AAAGTTAGCTTTTCGACCTTTACCATTTTAGTGACCTACACTTTGCGAGAGTCTTTTGATGCTGCTCAGTTTTTTTAGCATCCTTTTCTCAGGCCTTGGTGGATCAATGGGCATTTTAGGTAAAAATCTGGTAGCATATGGAATAATTAAAGATCAGCATGAGAAACATACATCAGAAGAGTTGAAGTTGGATTTCGATTTGAAGTATGACTGAATTTTTTTTCCACATAATAATCTTATACTTGGGAGTTACATGGTTATATTGAAGTTCCCACACTTTCCAAATTATGGGAAGTGCCTGTCTTAATTTTTCCGTTCCTAGGCGTTGACTTTTCCTTTGTGATTACAGTATAGGATAATTTATCCACAGTGATTAAGATGCCTTATTAATTTCATTTGGATTATCTTTTGCATCTCCATAAAGTGATGACCTGCTTCAATTTGATATATTGTGTTACCTGGAACAATTGCTGTAGTCTTTTTTCCTTTCACACCAGGTGTTGGTTGTGACTCTTTCGTGTACATTTTGAATTTCTATTTTCTACCCTCATCATGCATTAATAATGTTAAAATTACTGATTTAATACAATATCAATTTACTACTAATACTGACCTATAACGTTTCAGAAGTTTTTGGTTATCAATCTTTTGAAAATCCACACATGCCTTGTGACTTTCCCACTAGAATGTATAATACATCAAGGAGTTGCTAACATATATCCATCTCAACGCAGACTCAGAGGATGATGACTAACTGGAAGAATTTGCTCAAATTTGCTGTATGAAGAATCCGTTTTGAGCAGACTGCCATATGAGCATAGGGCTGCATCTGGTTGGTAGAATCATCTGTTTCCTTGCTCTAAATCCACTGACTGTTGGTTCTCCAGCTTGCAGGGACTCAAGTGTACTCTTTCTTGTGATTAAAGAAGAACAGCAAAGAAAGATGTAGTGCCGCGCGGTTTAGATTCAGAACCGCATTTTTGGTGTATAAAAGCATAGATAGCAGGATCTTCCCCAGTTGTACTTTTTCTTTCCACAGTTAGTGTTGAAAATGACTGAGCAACGGTTTACCTCCTCCTCGCCTATCGTTAGTGTTTTGTGCTAAGTTTGAAGGCTCTTGTGCATTTTCCTTTCCCTTATGAACCATGTCATTAGCTCTCGTAAATTTTTGATGTTATCGATGGAATTTTTACCACGTTAAGTACGCCATTGACGGCACCGATAATTGAGCTTTAGAAATAAATTTTCTTCTTTCACTTCACCGGAATCCCCAAGTTCCAACGCCTTTTGCACATTTCAACAGCTTGATGGGGTTCAAAATTTTGACGTCCCATTAGCACCATTACCATTATCTGTCTGGTAGAGATTATTTTGGGTTTCTAGATTCATATGCCATGATTATGCGCCAATGTAATTCTTCATCTTGGAAGCTATGAACAGATTCAAGATAACTTTGCACTGATAATTAGTTGGATTTTTTTTTTTATTGCATGAGATGGATGGAATTTGAAAAACGGTAAAAATATATATATATATATATATTAGAACTCGGGACTCTAGCTCTTGTAACATCAACAGTAGCCATCGTTGGCACATGTGACTATACTACTATTTGTAGTTTTTGGCACACTTTTTTTTTTTTTTTTTTGTCGACACTGGGGTGTCCGGGTCAAGACCCGAAGGCGGCCCGACTAATCCCCAGCGGCCCGAGAGGAGAGGCCCCATCCCCCCAAGCACGGTAACCCTGCACGACTCGAACCCCTGGCAAACGCTCCTAAGGAGGCGTGCGCTGCCAGACGAGCTGCCCAGGAGGGGCTTGTAGTTTTTGGCACTCAAACCTCGCAATTGTCATGCCCGTTTGCCCAAACTTTGGATCATCAGTGTCTTGGATTTTGGAACGTATCTGGCGTGCCTTTTATTCATTTTTAGCTGCTAAGTCAAAAATTATAATTTATGGTAGAATGTCTATCCAGAGATTCATAGATCTTAATACAATAAATATAGATATTAAATTAATTAATGTTGACACAAAGACAACGACATGCGAAAACATAATACTTTTATCACTTGTTAAAATTTATGTCCACATATTCAATTTCAAATTATCCGATTTCTAAACCATTCCACCTACCACCATAAATACTCTGTGATTGCTGAGGTTCATGGCTAATAAGGCTTCTTTATTGATTTCTTTTTCCTCAATGGGTTTGGTAAGGTCATTGTTCGTTTGGTTTGAAATAGTGTTAGTATTTGGTATTCCTTTCAGAATCGCATCCAAGTGTCCTACTTGCTTACTACTAACCAACATTGAAACCCTCAACAAAAAAAGAAATAAAAAAGATGTTAAAGAATAAGAATGGGATTCCGGATTTCAAGATATACGTTTCGAGTCAGCATTCCTGTGATCATTTATTGATGAGAACAATGAATGTCTCAAATACAATAAACAGATAATGACATAGTAGTGTCAAAAGGACTTTTCAGTTTTTTTTTTCCCAATTAATTTTGTTATTTTAGTAGTTCTACCTCAGAAAAGGTGATATTCGCATCGCTATAATCACAAGGCAAGCAACCAAATAACTAAATCCACGTTATAGAGGAAAATTGACAAGCATTACTTTGTATCTCTAAAGAATTTAGGCTTTGTTTTGAATTGCAATTTTTTGAAATTTTTGTTAAAATATATATATATATATATCAATTTGATATATTTAAAATAAGAAGGTGATTGAAAAAAAACTGTGTTTATAAAAAACGTAAAAATTTTTTGGTAAAAATGGCTTTCCAACCAAGGATTAATTTTTATCCCAAAAAAAAAAATTTTTACTTAATGCAGTTCAGCTGGATGTAAATGACTTAGAAGCTAATCTTCTTGTTTCGCGTTAACGAATCTAGAAGCGCAGGAAACTTCTGTCACCAGAAAAGGTCAATACTCGAGCGGACAGTGTCAATGTCCCCAATATTCTTACATCATGTAAGTTGCCTTCGTCAGCGATTATGTCACGGTCCTTAACCGTCCAGACCAAAAGCTAAGAACACGCTGACATGGTTTTCATTTTGGGATAATTTCTAAAACCACCCCTTAAGTTTCTCATAGTTTTACTTCTCATGCTTAAACTTTCAAAAATATCACAAATCTCTCTTAATTTTGACTTTTTATAACATTGTCAGAATCTTCAAAATATAATATTAAAAAAACTCATTTTAGGAGAAAGAAGATAATTTCATTTCAAAATTACCTTATGTTATCTTAATTTTTGTACAATTTGACAAATTTATTAATAAAAGATTGTTAACAAAGGGCGAAATAAAGTACCTAAAGATGTAAATTTGATGTGCCAAAATCATTAGTAGTAAGTGTATTAAAGGTACAATCACTATATGTTAAAAAAATTATTTGAGGTGCATTCAAAATACAAAACAAAAGAAAAATCTTTATTACATAGTGTTTTAGGTAAGTTTAAGATGCTTAATAATTTTTTTATAAAATTTTTAATTTTCTAACTTTTAGCCTCAAAATTATGACTTAAAACACTTAATTGACAAAAAGTGATTTTCTCCATCGTAAAGTTTTTTCAGGTAATTTTTACGAGTTTTGGGAATTATTTATAATTTTGAAATTTTAACATTTATTGTTTGGACCAATGTACATAAAACTACTAAAGGATCTCTTAGCCTAATTAACAATTATTAATTTTTTTTATTAAAAACAAAATTAGCCAAAATTTCTAAAAGTTAAAGGAAAGGCTAATGCCTTCTGTATTTTCTTCCTTTTAGTTATTATGGTAGCTCTTGCACCATTTAGATAAGGTAAAGTTAAAAGAAATACTGGAGAAGAAAAGCCTTATCAAATTGATTTGCTATGGCAATTAATGGGCCACAAAAAGAAAATAATTTTATAATGAAATTATATTCTTTTTCCAACTGAATTTATTAAACTTATCTTTTGACCTGGGTTTAGGATTTTACAAAAAAATTAGAATTAAGGCTGGGTTATTTTTCAGTATTCAAGAGTAGTGCATGACTATGTATTGTTAAAAATATGAGAAATATGAATCAATTATTTTTTAATTAACCTTATCTTAGAAATATGAGTTAATTATAATTACATCCATTGAGTTTAACTAAAATATAGAACCAACTGTGAGGTTTGGTCGTATTACAATCATACTCTTACGAGTAAGCATTTCTTAGCCCAACAAATAGAAAGTATTGATGGAATATGAGTTTAAATTTTTGTCTTTAAACGAAAATGAAAATTTTAACGATAGTCGTAAGTGATTTATTGATTTTGAATGGAAAGGAAAGAATGAGAACTTGGGCATGACGGCGGGTGATATGGGACTTTCATAAAACATAACAGTTGCCATTACTAGAAAATTAACTGTCAGCATTAGTAGGGCAACGGTAGGAGGTGTCAATTATAAGTTTATCATGATGGAGGAGCTTTTCATAATATTGTCAATCATGTAGGTTTAACTCACAAGATGGTCGAACCTCAGGGGTTTGAGTATAATTAACTCCAAAAATATTGAGGTACTCGAACTGAGGATAACTGGAACCGAAAAGAAAAAAAGGGGAAAAAAAAGACAACTATGATACGGACTTCCCGATGGGTACCAAAACGTCCGTAGCAGTGGCAGTTCGGTGAGTAGACGATACTATTATAAGATGCAGCTGACACGTCAGTAGCTTTCAAGGTTTGAAGTGTACATTCACCTTCCTCGAATGTTGACGTGGTCCTGCCAGCTCACCCTCCAAGAATGAAGTTTCAGTAGATCCCAGCCCAGCGTCGCAACGCATGTCGCCTCCATCATCCCAAACATCACCAGGATATCCTAAGACCATCTCAAAATTGCCCCACGTGCCAGCCCATCAAAACAAGCTCCTCAAATAACCCCGTGTGTGAACGGCGTATGAGCTGGCACTCTCTCCGTATATAACCCCCCCGACCACTTTGACCTCTTTCCTTCTTGTCTCAAATCTTACCCAACAATCACAAAGCAATTATCTCAGGACGAATAACAGACGCCCCACCCCCAAGTTCCCAGTTTCAAGAAAACTGCTGCTTGCTGCTCCCTACTGATTATTACTTAGTTGTTACTGCTACTTCTTCAGCATGCAGAGGTCAACCAAGAGGCTCAAACAAGAGGGAATCCCTTTGACCAGCTCCCATGCCACCTCCATCCTCCCGCCGCCACTGCCTCCTCCTCCTCCTCCTCCTCCGCGTATGATCACCAGCGAGCAAGAAGTCTCCGTCATGGTGGCCGCTCTGAAGAATGTCATTGCTGGCGCCTCCACTGTCACCACCACCACCCCTTATGCAGACGCAAATACACTCCACGACTTTAGACTCTTTCCGCCATCGTTATTCGAATGCGCCACAGCCTCCTCCTCCTCCTCCTCCTCCTCTGCTTTTTTCAATGCAAATAATCTAGTCGTGCCTGCTGCTGCAGTCCAGACTTGTCAGTTGTGCGGATACGAAGGCTGCTTGGGATGCAACTACTTCTCGCCCTCAGCCGCCCCAGTCGAGGATAATAACAAGAAAAATGGGGTCAAGAGAAAGAAGAAGAACTACAGAGGAGTGAGACAGAGGCCGTGGGGGAAATGGGCTGCAGAGATAAGGGATCCTCGCAAGGCAGCTCGGGTTTGGCTTGGAACTTTTGAGACTGCCGAGGATGCTGCCCGGGCTTATGACCGCGCGGCCATTGAGTTCAGGGGTCCCAGAGCAAAGCTGAATTTCCCATTCTCCGATTATACGTTGGACGGCCACCAGAGTTCGAGCTCACCCCAACAGGTTCCAGAACGCGATCAACATCATCATCATCATCTGCCTCACAAGCAATTGCAGCCAGAAATTAAAGCTAAAAATGAGATTGTTGATACTTCTGGGATGGAGCTTGGGACCAGCAACGGTATGGAATTCTGGGAAGCGATCGGAGAAGAAGAGATTCAACAATGGATGATGATGATGGATTTCCAGGGCCATTCTTCATCATCTGGGAGTGGAAACGTTCATAGCGCTTAAACTTACAAATTTTCAAATAAGATGAAGTCGCGGCCTTTGATCGATCAATCACTCTTGCGGATGCCCATATAATTTTTACTACTTTTGGGTTTCTGTTGGACGGAGAGGGACACCCCAAAAAAAAAAAAAAAAAAAATTGAAGAAGAAGTACAGTAGTTACTTCTTTTTTTTTTTTTTTTTTGCCATTTTATGTTTCATAAACCATAATCTGTTGTGCATTCTTCAATTACAGCAAAAGTTAGAACTTCTTTTTTGTAACTTCGTTTAGTTTTTGTCCATTCCTAGCCATGGATTGGTTACCTTAACAGTTTCTTGATGTCGGCCCTTTTTATGTCCCTGACTATAACGGACTTACAATGAGAGAATGTTCCTAGATCTCTGCCCTGTACTTTGCGCCCGACGCAAGGTTCATTCCAGAAATCGAAATTGTTTAAAATGGTGAATAATTATTTGTTTCAATTGATCCAATTGAATAAAAGTTTTACTACTATCGAGTTATTGTCAAAATAAAATTTTTTTTGTAGAACAGTTGGGCAGGGCCGCAGGGGAGACTGAGTCAGGTGAGGTTTGTGATTTTGATAGTTAGGACAGCACTGGAGACAGGTTCCTTGATTATTAGTGTGGGTTAATAGAAAATAAAAGTACCGTCTCATGGTACTAAACTGGATCAATCAAAATAAAAATTAGTTAAATAGAGAATATGGCATGTGGCTGGAAAGAACTGGGAAGCATGAGTCACATTTAGCATGTGCTGAAAAGAGTAAGAAACTTGGAGGAAATGGGGCACGAGGGGAATTGGATGTTGTCGTCATTCACTTTTTCTTATTGGGAAAAACACCTGAAGAAGAAAAGTGCATAGAGGGAAATGAGGGGGGCCTCCCTGGCAGGCAGCAGCCAGCAGCTGTAGTACAACGTGATTAAGAATAACATATGGGGGCCCGTGAAAGGACTGGATGTTGGGCCAATTCTGACTGACTCTTCTTACTCGGTACCGTTGACATCCTTCAATGGAAGTCCTAACGCGGTCCATGATTACTTAAGTAGCGCTACTAATACAGCTGTCTCCTCCTGTTCAGTGTTCTGATCTCCCCTTTTAAAATAAAATTTCTTCTGGTCTTTTTTTAAATTATTATTTTAATATGAATATGTCTTACACGAATGGACAGTAATACTAGTATATATACTTGAAGGTCAAATGACTTATAAAAATTAAATTTAAATTTTAAAATTTTCGCATATAGTATGATGGTATGTATGTATTTAAAGGCGACTATTATTGCCCTGTGTTTGGATTGCACTTCTTTGGATTTTTTTGTAAAAAAAATTACTGTAGTGATTTGATATATGTGAGATAAAGAGGTGATTGAAAAATATGTTGACGGAAAACGTACCAATTTTTCTTTGAAAAATGGCAATCCAAACGCATCATTTTTTAAGCCATTTTTCCAAAAGAAAACAACAAACCGTCTAATAAATGCAATCAAATGATGATTGGTCAAGCCGTACCTTTGCTAATTACTGCTAGTACTATCTTTCTTCACATCATCTGAACCCTGTTTCACTCCCTTTAAAGAAGAAAACAATCAATCCTCTCAACCTTCTTCATGAAATTTAATGCTATTATTGAATTGTTTGATTCATTCCTGCTAAATTCTCTCACACTTTTGTACCTTGCTGCTAATTTATTACACATCAAACTAATTTATTTCTTTTAGTACACAGTTTATTTCCCTCTCTTCTCTTGCATTCAAAGATGATCCGTTTGACTTGCATCAAAACAAGCCTAGTGTTGACTTTTAGCCTCACTTTCGCGTAAAACAAACTAGCTTAATAAATTGATCAACAGTGCAAAATCAGATAAGTTATTGTGACAAACGTGATTAATCAAAGAGTAAAAATGCGTAGCATGGAAACGTATTGTGACAAGTCTGGTCAGTTCTCTTTGCACCACCATTACTCATTGTGCCATGCTGATTTAATGTAAAATGCGGAGTTTAACTTAAAACCAATTTCTTTTTTTAATGAAAATTTCCAGCAACACTTGACATTTGACGCGCACAAGATTTATGGCTCCATATTATAGACGAACACCAAAAGCGGCGTTGGTAAAAATGCTTTTATGGCTCAATATTAGTTCGTGCTTACTCACGTTTGTTGTGTGGCGGAAGGACCGGCTGTCTTTTCAAGTGTTTACTTTCCCTCGATTAATCACGTGCGATTATAAGTTAATGATTTGTCTCTTTTTTTTTTCTTTTTTTGGGAGGGGGGTTCTCTTTTAAGAAAGAATCACCTGATACCCGCATCGCTACTTATCAGGAAACGCGCAGTACGGCCCATGATTCGTTCATAGAACGTCCTGTAAGAGATGCCAAAAACAAAAAGGGATATCTCTAATTATTACTCCATATGTTTCTTTTCTACCCATTATGTATGCTATAATTCTTCTTTTTTTTTTTTTTGCCCTTTTTGGGGACCCTTAGGTGTTCCTAATTTTTTTCGATAAAAATAAAAATAATTTTGAAAAGTGTCGAAATGCAAGGTGCAATCAATGTGAATGTATGGTCTAGAATAACTCGCATAGTAAATTAGGTATAATTTAAACATACTAACGAGTACTCTAAGTCTGACACACATGTTACACAAAATTCTTTTATTTTTTCAACTTCGTAGAGTATTTATTAAAATCAACTTTAAAACTCACAAGTCACAACCATTAATTAATAAACTCTATTCAGGTGACCATGAGATCTTTGATTTCGCTCTCAAATCCTCGTTACAAGTATTAGGAGTGTAATCGAATCGAACTGCTTGTAAGTTATGATTGACAGGTTTGAGTTGAAATCGAGCTAATCGATAGGATTAACGAGTCGAGTTCAAATCCAATTTAGTTAGGCTCGAAGGCTATTCAAGCCTATTTAGCAATTTAATAGTATATTATTATTATTAAATTAAGACCCATCACTTGTAGCGCAATTTACAGCATACTTCATTCCGTTTGAAATGTTTGGAAGGGTGTTAATGTCCTCTCGCAGGTTTAGGAATTCAAAAATTTGAAATGTTCTACTAATAAGTATGCAACAGAGGAACTTAAACAAATCCTGGTATTTCTGAGAACAGTGTTGGGCTGAACTAGCCCGAATAAGCCCAATCTGACCCATGTTCCAGCAAATTATGAATTTTTCCTATATTTGTCCCAGGTCACATTCAAACTGGCCTGAATTTTTATAGTTCTATTTTTCCAGTCTTGAAAAATATTTTGTTTGTGAAAGAACGCATGATATTTTAACGAAAAGATATCAAGTCATATTGCATTGACACACAAATTTTTCCGTCAGTATGAAACATTCATCACAAACTCTTTTAAATTTTAAGTACCTATGATATGGAGACTTCTAAAATAATTATATACAAAATGAATTCTAAAATAATTATAGCTAGACAGGGTAGAGGCTACGGCCAGAAGAAAGAAAACATGGAGTCCAAAATTGGGAACTTTTCATGGCCCAAGTTAGGCCCATTCTTTTGCGTCTCGTAACAGCTTTAGGCCAACCCAGACTGGGCGCTAGCCTGCTGCCTGCTTCTATTGGGTCAAAAGAGTTCTAGTCCGCTTACTTCATAAGCAAGCAGTTGAAGAAGAAGTTCCTTGAGACGCTTCATCCACGCGGCCCCCACAGCGCATCCCACTGTACTTGGATCTACGCCACCTGGTAACTGCCCATAATTAACCCATTCCCCGGCGCCGGCTGCCCATATATAAACCCCATCAGCCCACGCCTGGGCCCCGATCTTCCCATCCCCAATTTCAAATTTCGCATTGCCGGATCTCATTTGCTTCCTTCCAAATTGTTCATTTGACATAACATAACAATTCATAATCCTCTGGCTTTCTCCGCATCAATTCTTTGGAAGAACGCTCTGCTATAAAATTTCTCTTCATTTCGTTCGAGTTTTTTACATTTTAGCAATGGGCGCTTCGCAGAGTAGAGAAGGTCTCGAACTCTCCGACTCCGAGTCGGAGTACGACGACGATGATAAGGGGGAAGAAGAAAGCGAAGACCAATACGAAGACGCTGCTGCAGGGGATCGAACTCCGACTAAGACCTCATCGTCCCGCAGCGGATCAATAACACTAGACGAAGTTGATTCGAGGCTTAAGTCCCTGAAACTCAGGTATCCAGCTTCAGCCCCTTCCCCGGTTTCTGAAAACGCCGTAAAGCTTTACCTCCACATCGGAGGAAACACGCCCAAAGCCAAATGGGTAGTCTCTGATAAGCTTACTTTCTATAAGTTTATTAAGACATCGAAAATTGACAAGAGTGGTGGTGACCATGAGGAGGATTGGGAGGAGGAATCTGAGGGTGAGGGGTTTTGGGTTTTGAAGGTGGGGAAGAAAGTGAGGGCTAGGGTTTCTACCGATATGCAATTGAAGTTTTTCGGCGAGCAGAGGAGGGTTGATTTTGTGGATCATGGGGTTTGGGCTTTGAAATTTTTGGCTGATGAGGAGTATAGAGCTTTTGTCACTAAGTTTCAGGACTGCCTGTTTGAAAATGTGTATGGATTGAGGGCGACGGAAGACAATAAACTGAAGGTGTATGGAAAGGAGTTCATTGGGTGGGTTAAGCCAGAAGAATCGGACGATGCAATGTGGGAGGCTGCTGATGAGGGCGTCTGGAAGAGTCCAAAGGACAGCCCTGCAGTGGTTAGGGAGAGTCAGGACTTGCTGGAGGAATTTGAGGAGGCTGCTTCCGATGGTGGGATACAGAGCTTGTCCTTGGGGGCTCTTGATAATAGTTTTCTGGTGGGTGATTCGGGTGTTCAGGTGGTTAAGAATTTTAGCCATGGGATTCATGGTAAAGGTGTTTATGTCAAGTTTGATAACGGTGGAAAGAGGGGGAGTTCGAGTATGGGGCATTCAACTCCTAAAAAATCACTTTTAATGAGAGGTGAGACAAATATGTTGCTCATGAGTCCCTTGAAGGATGGGAAGCCTCGTTCGACCGGGCTTCATCAATTGGATATTGAGACTGGAAAAATTGTTACAGAGTGGAAGTTTGCAAAGGATGGTGCTGATATTACCATGAGGGACATTACTAATGATACAAAAGGCTCACAGTTGGATCCTTCTGAGTCAACATTCTTGGGATTGGACGATAATAGGTTGTGTCAATGGGATATGCGTGATAGGAGGGGGATGGTTCAGAACATAGCCAGTGCTGATTCACCCGTCTTGAATTGGTCTCAGGGGCATCAGTTTTCTAGAGGGACAAACTTTCAGTGCTTTGCAACTGCTGGTGATGGTTCAATTGTAGTTGGTTCACTTGATGGGAAGATTCGTTTATATTCTAGAACATCAATGAGGCAGGCGAAGACTGCCTTTCCTGGGCTTGGTTCACCTATAACCCATGTTGATGTTACTTATGATGGAAAGTGGATATTGGGCACAACTGATACCTATTTGATTTTGATATGCACTTTGTTTACGGATAAGGATGGCAAGACCAAAACAGCTTTTAGTGGTCGAGCTGGAAATAAAATCCCTGCGCCAAGATTATTGAAGCTGACTCCTGTGGATTCGCATATGGCTGGAGCAGATAATAAGTTTCATGGTGGCCATTTCTCATGGGTATGCTACTTGGCTGTTCTTCATGTTTTGTTAATGTTGCTTAGGTCATTTTATTTGTTGACTGACTTTGTTGATATGGTGGTCCAGTTTTGCTACTTATGTACTTTTGTAGGTTTAACTGATTGATATGAATTGCTTCTTTACTTCGCTGGTGTTGGACAAATGAATCTTCTGTTGTATGAAGGAGTTTAATCAGCTTTTGTACCTCTTTTTTATACAGAAGATAGCATGAGAATATTGAATCATCATGTTTTCTTTATGCAAAAATGTAAATTCAGTTATCTCAAGTATTTAATTGGTGGATGCAGAAATCTGAATTTAGTTATATTAGGTATTGAGATGGCAGAAACTGTAGCCACTCCAAATCTAGCTTGCTACGAGGGGAAGTCTTGCCTAGACAGGCTTACCACAACCTAATGATCTTCTATGGCCTATGTTTTTGGGTTTGTTTGAATGCCGCCAACTCATGACTTCTTACTCAAGCTTTTATATACCTGGTGTATTGGTCAGCTAGCTTTTGTAAATATAGCTTGTTGGTAGATAGCTTGCTGAATGTTCACTGGAATGTTCTCTGTCTTAACATTGAGGTGGAAAATACTTGAGGAAATATAAACTAGTTTCTTAACAGAAAATGGTTGAGCTGTTGTGGACGGAGATCAGAATAATGGTTAGAATTGGAGGTACATCACTTTTTTCTAAGGCGGCCTTGTCTCTTATAGCTGTCATAGTGGATTTTTGAACTTCTTCTTTTCCTTTATTTTGTTGGAGAATAGCATAATTCTTGATGTTCAAGCTCAATTGAGGAAGATGATGATATTTTTAGGCATGTGATTTCATTGAAACGAACACTATCATAAGTTTTTCTGGACTAAAGTGCTGTGATTGATTGAGAGCTGAAATTAGTGACTTGCAGCTTGCTTGTTTTCTAATTGGCTGCTGAAATAATCCTTGTGATGTAATCTGGGGGTGAAGAGCTTGTTTGTCAACCTGGGCTTTGTGTGTTACTTTGGCATTCAGTCTCTCATTGTTTCTTTACAGCTGTAAATGTAGGCTTTTCTTCCGTGCAAGCTGTTTCTTTTCTAATAGGCTACTCATGAATTGTGATGTGATTATCAAGACTCATCTGCACATTATGCAGATTTCCAGCTCCTGTTTCCCTTTTCTTGTCCTCTTGTCACTCTAATAACAGATTTTGTTGGAGATATCATTTGTCATTATTAACTTTAATTAGAATTTTTGGTCTTGAACATCTTTTGCAATACATGCTTAAATTGTTCCTTTTTGTAGCTTTTGCACTTCCTGCTTGGAATGTGATCAGCGTTGTAGACTTACCCAGTTGTGTATTAATACAAGCATGATTAGTTGAAGCACATTATTTGATAGTAGGACTTGGACATAAAGATACAAGTTTAGTTGATTGTTAATTAGGTTTTACATTTATTTGAATCTGTTGGGGGCATTAATATATTGAAATATTTTTATGGATATAATTATGGATAACCTTATGTTGATTATTTTCCTATCAGGTTACTGAAAGTGGCAAGCAGGAACGCCATTTGGTTGCTACAGTTGGAAAATTCAGTGTCATATGGAATTTCCAGCAGGTGAAGAATAGTGCACATCACTGCTACCAGAATCAGCAAGGGCTTAAGAGCTGTTACTGCTACAAGATAGTACTGAAGGATGAATCCATTGTCGAAAGCCGATTTATGCATGACAAATTTGCTGTTAGCAACTCTCCAGAGGCTCCACTTGTCGTGGCAACTCCAATGAAGGTTACTTCCTTCAGCATGTCTGGCAAGCGGTGACCTCATGGATTTGGAGAGTCCTGTGTAAATGAAGATCTGCTAGCTCAATTTCTGTTTATTCTTGTAACACTCTGATTTTTTTAGTGCGTTATTTTTATTTGAAGTCACCGTTTTTTTTCTTCCTCGTGTAGAGGTTTTTCCTTTTTTTTTCCTCTTGTGAATATTAGTGGCAGGTGAAACTTTTTGGCTATGTTGCCATTGTAGTGCTTTGAAGCCAGGTTAATTACCTGTTTATTTTTTATTTTTAAGCAATGCTTGTCTTCGGTGCAAGTCTTTAAGGCACTAGTTATGGAAGTGGAATGAAAATTTTAAACACCAGGTTATTGATATTGGTCTTCAGCGGTGATTCATCTTTCCTACAGCTTTTGAATATTCAATCTCTCCACCTGGCCCCCCCCTCCCCCCTCTCACTTTCTTGAGATCAAATGTTGAGCAGGTAGCAGTCAAAAATATCGAGTAGAGACTAGACATCGCAATCAAAAGCCAATGTATCGCCATTTACACTTTATAGTACCCCGTTTTCACAACCAAACAAAGCAGCATAAGTAGACATGATATGGGGCGGTTTTGGATCTTCAGCGACAAACTCGTCCGAGAATTCGCTACACAGGCCAAGTTACACCAATCAGGAACTGAATCAGAAATTGCGTCTTAATATTGTAAAAAGTTGTACGAGTGATGGTTAAGGAAAGTCAGAAGTCCTCTGAAGTGTGGCGACAAGGAGCGAAAAAGTAAAGAGGAGAAGTCCTTTGAAGTTGGCAGCAAATTCCTGCTTCACAATGCGTCTCGGGCAGCGATCCTGCAAGTTATGGCATCTGCAAGCGAAGATATCTCCAACTCCAAGCTTGATATTTTGTAGTGCTGAGCAAGGCATATCAAGCCAAAGATGTAGTACAAAGTCAGATGATATAAAATGCTTCAACAAGCCATTCAACTGGTAAATCAATTAGAAAATAAAGAAAAAGCAAAAACCTTCTGTATTTGGGATTGATTTGCTTTTCCTTCCAAATCATCTAAATCGATCTCTCTTCCTTCTATCAGTTTCTCTATGGCTGTCATCTGGTAGACAACATGAGAGTTCACGTTTATTTTACGAGCACCACCCCCCGAAGAGTAAAAACATACCAAAAGGTCATGCAATGCAGCCTTTTCCAATCGCTCATAACACACACCACTTACCTCATCAGCAGAAGCACTGAACCGAGCCACAAGGATGTAGGTTGAACTTTCAGAGATGCCACATCTCTTTAAGGATTCTGAGATCTGGTCAGAGTAGAATGTCGTCAACCAGAAAAGAAGGAACAAAATACAGGGAAGGATCGGTTAAACTAAAAACCTTCTTACATGCTTAGAACCTGAATAATTATAGACAAGCTCAGAATGCAGGGTCCGTGTTGTTAATGACTGCCTTGATTTAGCTACAAGCGTCTTGTGTGCAGCAGCCAGAACAGGGAAAACATCTGGGATCTGTTTCATAGTCGAATAAGAAAAAATTATTACCTCTTCAAAATAGAGAAGAAAATAGGAAGGGACTAATTAATAAGGTAGGTAGCAGATGCTGACAAGTAATGCATTCAGCAATGCTACTTCTGGTTCCAAAGTTCCACCTTGCATTGAATCCAGGAGTTCCCTGTAAAACAAATAAAGCATGTTAATGCACTTATATCCTCAATGACTATATGTTATTTTGAATTTTTCATGATGGAAAGTAATATTTAGAAGTTTATTTGGCTGTTGATGAAAGAAGATAACCAGGACTGCACAAGTTAGAAGTACACACACCCGCACACACAAACGCACAGGGCAGGATAGCTGCTAGCCTGGGATTCCACTGCTAATGTGAATATTCAAATCAAATACCTCCTCAGTAAATTTCACCAGGCGTTAGGTATCTAAGTAACTAGATTTGTCAAATACAGAACAAGGACATGAGGACAATTTTCTAGAAATAACTGACATTGCTCTTCATCTGAATAAGGCTAATCTTTTTCTTTCCCTGCAACATGTGGAATACTTTGACAATCAGATACTGCACCTTTAACTTCCTCGTCTCACCCCATAGCAGCTATAGCCCATAATTGCACAATGAAACCTTTTATAAGTGTTCCAGTTTCTAGACAGCGGAACTCCCTTAACAAAATTTAGCTAGTGGTACACCGTAAAATACAATGCACACGCACTAAAGAAATAACTAGAGCAGCACAATTGATAAAAAGCAATTCCAGGAAAACAGAAAGATCAATAAGACCTTTACCAGGGAGATGTAGAACCACTTTAGGGTCGATAGTGCATTTTATAAAATCATTTTACTTCGTTCAGAAGCAATTTGTTTTCCAATTAAACTTTTACACGGCATTGCCAATTACCCGGAAAATGTAAACATAATACTTCTTCATCTAGATTCAGTCCAAGTCTCTCTCTCTCTCTCTTAAATAAACGTCCTCGAATTTTCACAGTATACATGCATTTGACTCTTCACACTATGATCATAAACCTATTATAGATAACGAATTTTGTGTGGTAAATTAGCTTCTAACCTAGTTGGCCTTCAACAATGATAGCTGCACAGAATTTGAAATTGCCATAACTTTCATATCCAAAGGCTAGTTCTATTCACTTTTAATTGTTGAAAAGAAACAACTTTTAGTAGTATTTTTTTCTTCCCAAACAAAAGGAAAAAGTAAAAGGAGAGACTCGGGAAATCTCCCAGAAATAAATTCAATTCATTCCCTAAAAGGGAGAAGCAGAGAAATAGTAATTACTTGGAGTTGGTGACGTCGACGAAGAGAGCAAGACAGAGGGTGGATCCATTTACCTCGAACACCTTCATCGTTGGCTAAAATAAAGAGCAGAATTGTTGGTTTCTTAAAGGAGAAAAGGTTAGGTTTAAGTTTTCTGGGATTTGGCAGAAAGGACTCTTAGGGCTTTAGTTTAGCCTTTGGCTTGGAAGGAAGACGACAAAAAGGGTTAAGACGAAAAAGTACACAGACGCGCGCCAGGTAGGGGTCGAACCTACGACTTTCTGCTTAGGAAACAGACGCTCTATCCACTGAGCTACAGGCGCTTGTTGGCTATGGGAGGAACTTCTTTCTTTAATTATTAGTTTGTCAAATTCCCAAATGGTTCCCGCCCTAAATGGTTTTATTTTATCACCTTGGTTCAGTTAAAAAGTTCTCTCGACATGCTATGGTTGAGTCATAGCGTTGACTAACATGAAATGTTCTCTCGACCAGTTTAATTGGCTTATTGAGTTGAATTGAGGTAGGGCTCGGCTAATTTTTTTTTTTTTTTTTTCAATTCAGGGAGTATTCCAACTTTACCAGACTAATCTCCCTAAACCTGAAGTACCCCGCCCCCCAAAAGCACCCAGGTGATATGTGAAATCAGACTCGAATCTCATCCTACGAGGAATACTCCCGAGGATTCACCGGCTGAGCTGACCCCTAAGGGCAAGGCTCGGCTAATTTGATACTCCTATTTTCAACTTTTGTGCATAACTTTCTGCATGAATTTGAGAAATTAGGTAATGCTCCAATGGAATTCATATTTGATATTAGTTACTTTAGGAATCAATTTGGAAATCACATTCACTTGTACGTTGGAAATATGCTAAGAAATAATAAGGAGAGTACCATCCCTATTGTAATTTAAGGATATGTTACTCACTCCTTGGGGTCCAAGTGTCGAGCAATCTCGTCGTGAAAAGTATCACGAGTACTCCATTATTATCATAAATAACACACAAAATAATACAAAGAGTTCATTCAAAGAATATATATTCTTCATTTTTCAAAAGACGGTGAATTTAATTTCATATTGATAAATTTCATCAAGCAATTGACGAAGTCAACTTACGTAACATGAAAATTAATAATGGTAAAGCATGTAATCAATGTTTATGTGAACAATTATTATTTATTTGTTTATTTTTACCTTCCTATCCTTCCTACAAAAGACCATTAGACATAGGATTTGAATTCTGAATTTGATATGAGAGAGAACTCTAAGAGCCCTTTTCTAACTACCGGATCAACTCCAAAGTTAGGAAACACTTAAAATTTTGCTTAATGTGTATTCAAGTCATTTAACTCCAAAAGAAAAATAAAAAAATTGTTCATATATCTAATTAAAAATCAAACAATTCTAGTGATATTATCATAATTTGTTTGTCTTGAAAAAAAGAAAAAAACAAAATAAGTAATTAGAAGTACCGATATTGTATATACCATTCAAAATATTTGGTACTTTTCTAAAATTATTGCACATTTGGTCAAATCTTTATTTTTTTAATGTTAATTTTTAATAATTCTTTAATTAATTGTTCTTAAAACTTTTATTTTAAATTGAAAGAGACTGAATGTATTCTCATTTGTTAAAAATTCTCTGAAGATTTTATATGAATTTATAGATACAATTTGTGAACCTTTTTTTTTCTTTTAAAATAATGGATTTTAGAACAATTAATTAAAGAAGATGAAATATTGAATAAAAAAGAAAAAAGAAAAAATGTAAATATTAAATTTGTTAAAAAATTTCACAAATAAAATTTAATATATAAGATATTTTATATTTTATAATATTATAATCACATGCAAGGTACGCGAGTGGTATATTAAAATCATATAAGAAACAAATACTACTATTACAGAAAGCCGATCCGTCTATTTTCATGCAGAGCCATTGATACTCCATGTCCATTTTCGGACCCTTTCCAGCATTTCCTTCCGACTTTGGAATTCATTCTCTGGGAGTTCTGTTCCCGGAGATTCCAATCCGATCCACCAGTGCTCCACAATGTCCATCTCCGTCTTCCTCCTTTGGCTTGTTAGCGTCCCTCTCTTAGTCCAGGGAAATGCCATCATTAGATCAGTGGCTGGAAGACACGCACAACCCAAACCTCAGGTTAAAGGTAAAGGAGGACATTGTCCCCATTCATAATTCTTTCCCTATTATTGGGTCTCCGTTTTTAATTTTTTTTCGGTTACCCTTTAATTTTACAGCTTAAAGGTTTTGACATTGTAGATAAGACAAAGTTTGCTTGTGAATTATGCAGTTAATCGACCTCTATTTTCTAATGCAGATTACTTTGTAAACTGTGGGTCAAATGAAGATGTGGATAGTTGGGAGCTTAAATACCTCGCGGACGATGCCTTCATATCACCTCAAGGCACAAAAACAGCACGCATAAATCAAACCGATGTATTGCCTATATTATCTACATTAAGGTATATTCCAGACAAGACAACCAAGAAGAAATGTTACAAGTTTCAAGCGTTAAAAGGAGGAAAGTATCTGGTGAAATCAATATTCTATTATGGAAATTTTGATGGAGGGACTAATCCACCAGTCTTTGATCTGATCATTGAGGGCACTAAATGGAGCACTGTGAATACCACGCAGGATTATCTAAACGGGCTTGCTTCGTTCTATGAGATCATTGTCATGGCTCGTGATGAAAAATTGAGTGTCTGTCTTGCATGGAACGATCACACAGTGTCAAGTCCGTTTATCTCAGCTCTTCAAGTCCACTCTTTGAATGATTTGATGTATGATGGTACTAATTTCGATAAGTATGCACTGATGACTGTTGCTCGACATAGCTTTGCAGCTCATGGGGAAACAATTGGGTAAGTAATTAAGAAGCTTTGGCATAAGTCGATTGGTTTCTTGCAGCTAAGTTTCGTTTTTTGATATATGATGTTGGTATATATGTGGATATTTCTGCCTTCGAAATGGTACACACAAGTTTTTCAGGTCTATAAATGAATGAAACTTCAGCTGTAACATAGCACAAACTGCATTTTTTGATGACAAAAATAGAAGATATCGTGAGCCAATTGAAAATGCAAAGGGTGAGAAGGTTGTGTTGACCAAATGTCCTTTGCGCTATCATTCTATGCTCATATGAGTTCTTTTCTTTTCTTCCACCTTGATATCTGATATTGAATGTTTTCTACACTTCTGATTATGAATATTGAACATTTCGAACTAGTTTTCCAGATGATAAATTTGGGCGGTACTGGTATCCATTTATCGACAATAATCCTGTTGTATCAAGTCACTCCAACGTGACTCCTTCAGTATTTTTCAACAATCCACCGGCGAAGATATTTCAAACGGCAATCACAACCGACAGAGGAAAGAGTCTCCAAGTCATGTGGCCACCATATTCAGTTCCTGCCAGCCGCTATTACATTGCACTATACCTTCAAGACTCTAGGGCCCCTAGTCCATATAGCTGGGGAGTTTTTGATATTCAAATCAATGGCGAAACTTTCTATCGCCAACTGAATGTCACCACTAGTGGTGCAATGGTATTCAGCACATTTTGGCCCCTGAACGGGACAACTACAATTACCCTGACTCCCAGGAGTGACATTCCTGTCGGGCCTCTGATCAATGCTGCCGAGGCTTTTCAGCTTTTAGCTCTTGAAGAAAAGACTGCAGCTAGAGATGGTGATTTAAAAACTTTTTTTTTTCATTTAGTTAATACTAGTAGAATAATTCCTACCAATAATACTCTTGATACTTTTACTTTTTTCCAAAACTTACTGTCAGATTCTTGGTATTGTATCAGTGATTGTAATGGATGACATCGCAAGAAGCATTCAACACCTACCCCTGGACTGGGAAGGTGATCCTTGCGTGCCTAGAGGAAATGCTTGGACAGGAGTCACCTGCAGGCACAGACTAACTACTCACATTGTCTCGTTGTAAGTACATCCAATATTAGGCCGAGCAAACAGCTCCAACTTTTTATATTAACCCATGTTAATTCTTTTGCTGTACATTCTTTGTATGAATGAAGAAACCTGACTGGTCTTGGAGTATTAACCGGAACACTACCAAAGAGTTTATCCAATTTATCTGCTCTTCATCATCTGTAAGTGCTGTCAATCTTCCACTCTATCACGCTCTCGGCTTCTTGTATTTTTCTCGATTTTTGTTTGATGCAACACACAGTCTCTTCATCTACTTGTGACCTTTCAATCATACGACTGCTCATCTGCAGTTGGCTTGGGGGTAACTCACTCACAGGTTCAATACCTGATTTGAGCCCATTGATGGCCCTGGAAACTTTGTAAGCTCCTGTACCTTTTTTTTTTTTTTTTTGAGTTCCGATTTTTGAATGACCAGTTAATTAGTTACAGGAATAACTCGGCTTATTTTATTTCTCTTCCTGGCAAGAAAAGGCACTTGGAAAACAACCAATTTGAGGGTCCTATCCCTGAATCACTTGGACATCTCCCAAAGCTGAGAGAAGTGTATGTATCCTGTACTAGCATCAAGGAAACTAAGCTTATGAATTTTGCTAAAATTTTGATTATCTGTTCAATGATTCCTTTTAATAAATAGATTCCTCCAAAACAACAAGTTCACTGGTGACATCCCTGCATCACTGAAAAACAGGCGCGACATATTGCTGAAGTAAGTGATGTAGACTTCCAATTGCTTCTCTGGAAGCATTTCAGTATATTAATTGAATATTTCAAGTTACTGAACATATTGATCATTCCAATGCAAAAGGATATCTTATACTTTAATGTTTTGATCAGAAACACCATTGGGATCATCTGCACTGACCCATAGTTCCCTACTATATAATATATATATATATTCTCTGATTTTTCTGCCTTAGGTTCTGAACTCGTGGAATTCATTTGGCAAAGATACCAAATTTTCAACTGACATAGCTTAGAGAACTTATGGACCATGAATGAGACGATACACAAAGATCAGAAGATGGAGATGATGGGTGCATACGATGAAGAAGATGCCAGAAGAATTTATAAAGAGTGCTGGATCCTGCAAATATACAGAATTATAGGACAGCATGAGGATCTAATACTGCCTGCAGGGAAGAGGACGGTGTCCGCTACGGCTCCAGTCATCTTTCCTGCATTGCAGTGTCAGCTGTTATCTTCATACTGCTCAATCAGAAACATAGAAATTTGACTGGCGTCTTCCATGTCAACTATTTTTTTTTTTTTTTTTTCAAGTACTCTCCGACATGCGCATCAGAATGGCCTAGCAAGAAAGGAGAGTGGCTCGCCAGGCAAATGCATCTTTTGCCAAGGGATTGAGAGTGGCTTGGGCAGGGAAGCAAGTAGCACGTACTATTAACATATCTAGACCAAAAAGAATCCAAATATAGCTAATTAATCCATATGATATCGATAGCTCTTCTGTGGAAAGACAAAGGAACAAGAGTATATATCCAGTTCTTGGCGTTCCTATGTGAAACTTTTCCTGTTACGATTTTGCTCGTAACTTGTGATATCTCGAACCTCTATGGTATCTCCAATAGGGACTAAGGGTAGGGACAATTGGGTCGTTTCCGGTTTTTATACGCGTCAAAATTTAGGATGCACACTACTAGCATTACACTGTGGTACCGGATATATGTGAGATATTTTTATTTTATTCATGTATATCAATTTCTTTTCATGAATACAATAATGTAATGTATAAATGTGATTGTACACCAAGTAACATACCCAATCCTCTCTAATAGTTATAGCTGCATCTAGACTCTAGAGCAATAGAATATGTAGTACAGATATGGGGCGAATACAGTTAGAAATTTCGTACAATTGCACAATTGTTGTATTTTTAAATGACTAGTGATAGTTCCCGTACTTTGCATGGGATTATGTTAACCTAAATATAACATCTCTTTGATATAAAGTTTTTTTTTTGTGAAATTTGATTATTTACCTAATAATAGAATATTTTACATTTTTAGTTTATTTAATCAATTGTTATTACAAAATTATCTAAATACCAACTCTTTGATCTATTTATTTTGAATTTATTTTGAGCTTTCCTTTTTTTTTTTTTTGAATTTATTTTGAACTTTTTGATAAATTATGGATTCAACTTTGATAAACAATTCTTAATACAATTATATTTCATCAAAGTTGTTGTATACTCACAATATTTTTACCATTAAATCATAATATTGTTTTTTTAATATTGAGTAAAAGATGTTGTTAAACAGGAAATTCATGTCAAATGTGAGCCTAGTAAATAGAATTCATAATTAATAGCAAAGTAAAGGCTTCAACTGTAATATCAATTTCTAGAGGAGTATTAGAGTAAATAAATTGGCTTGTTAGATGTTATAATTCTAATTATTTAGACCACACTCACCCCTTTCTTTACCTCTTGGAAAGCTCCTTTATTGGCTAGAGTCTCGATATGCTTGTGCTTTCTTTTTCTTTTTTTTTTTAAAAAATAAAAATAAAACCCATGGTTAAGTTTCTGATGAAATAAACAAATTTTAACAAATGAAAAAAATTGTATCAACTTTGAATGTTATTTTTTCCTTGTTGAGACAAACGAAATGCAACTGTACAATTAGAATGAATAAATTATTTAAGAATAAAATATGTGAACCGTGCTCATATCCAACTTCACATGAACATTTAATTATTCTACTTTATATCTTTCCAATTGAATTTTTTTTTTTGTGAATTTGAATTGAATAATGTGAGGTGCATTATTGAATTTGGATTATTTACATTTTTTGATAGTGTTATTGAGGTTAGTAAAGAATATAAATGATTTAAACTGTTTAATTATGTAAGATTAGCTATTTCGTTGTCAATTGACATTCAATTGATAGAAATAGTTGGATTCTTTTATTTTTGCTTTTCTTTTAGTATTTCTTGATTTTGATAAAAAGCGCATAATTATACATCTGTCTTGTGATACTTATCCAAATGAATATGGGCTTTTTTGTTCTTATATATATATATATATTTTTCTTTTTGTTCTAAGAGCTTCTATTTTTTTTATACTAATATTTTTTTGTAATCTTAAAATGGTGGATAATGCAATTGATCACACTCTTTCGAATAAGAAATTTTGGTGCACATAAGAATTGAGGATAGAGCATAAGGGTCACTAAATAGTTTTAATAGGGAGTTTTTATTTTAATTACCATTATTATTGATTAATCATGTGGAATGTTTCATATTTTTAATTACTACAATAATTAAAATGTAATAACCCTAATTGAAAAATGAGGATAACATGGGTACAACAAAAACGATGATAAAAAAGCACTTTGCAATTTACAATACCATACCTATCATAGTTTTAATATTAATATACTAGTAATAGATAGATAGATAGATATAGTGTACACTCACATAGCCTTATGATATCAATCAATTTTGTTCATGCACACCAATTTAATACACGAGCACAGCTACTCGTGTGATTATATATACATCAAACACGAAAAAGTATAACAATCACACCACCAAGATAGTCTTTTGACAAAAAAAAAAGAAAAGAAGATAGTCTTCGTGGAGACTTGACCACCAACAGCACAGGCATTTGTGTTGGGTGGGCTGCCAATAAAATGTTAAACGTGTATCTCATTAAAATCAAAATATAGGAAGTTTACACTGCACGGGAATATATTAATTTTAGGTCATCTCCTTCATCTTCAAAAATTGCTGCTGCCGCTAATAGAAGCGTAGCTCTTATCCAACAGACGAATAGATGTAGAAAATACGCTGCACTGCTACTTGAGTAACTGACTTGACTATTTGCTTCTTTCCCACAAAGAATACAAAAAAAAAAAAAAGAAGAAAAAAGCGCCTAATTCGAAATCTGCCCATGAACTTGGCATCATCAGGGGTTACCAAGCGTGCGTAATAAATAGACACCGGCCAACCAATCGACTGTTGTTGGACTGGCACAGCTCTCCATCACTCTCTCTCAAAATCTCCATAGCTCTCTCCTCATCTGCCAACGCACAAAGGATACTATAATTATGTGATAATCTTTTCTTTTTGTTTCTCTGGGCTCATATTTTTCGAATGTTGCCAACATCAAATCGCAGTTCATTCTTCACCGTTGCAAAGCCACCCTTAAATTGCATTTCGGCCCCCCCTACACTTTCTTATCCACCGTCTTCCACCACCAATTTCCGGTTTCGGGCCATCGCCGACCACCCCGCTCCTGGCCCTTCGTTTCCGCCTTGGTGGTTGAATGTCCTTGCTGCAGCAGACGCAGCCGTCCCTGGCTTTGGACGCAGCTCCAATGGCAACACCGGCGGCGGCGCCGTTGGCGGAGTGGGAAGTGCAGCTAACAGCAACAAGAGCCCCAAGGTGAATGCCAAGGAGAAGCGTTGGTCGGGCAACCGAGATAGTTACTTAGCTGATGATGACGATGCTCTTCCTCTTCCAATGACCTATCCTGACAGCACTCCCGTTACGCCGGAAGAAATTGACCGCCGACTCCGATGCGACCCCGAAGTTCAGGTTTTTGTCTTTGTTTTAATTCTATTTTGGTTTTCTAGTGAATCTTACAAAAGGTAAGTCTTTGTGGCTTGTGTTTTGACTTTGGGATGACTCATTTAAATGATTTTCATTTTTGGCGTTTTACATCAATTGAGGCACTTTTCTGGGCTTATTAGTTGGTGGTGGAACCTTTGTTGCTAAGGTTAGCATATTATCAACCATTCAGCAATGTTCTGAATTTGGTGTCCGAAATCTTCGAGTATAACTGTGTGGGTCATAATATCTTGTGCAAAAACTATCCTAATGTGCTGAATTTTCTCTTAGAGTTTTATCTTCATGTTATGTACGCGTAAGAAATTCTGTTAGATAACCGTACGGTTATTCCTAAATGTTCTTTTGATTTGTTTCCAACTTTGATGCAATGGAGTTGTAGGATTGTAAAGAAGTTGTTTATGAATGGACTGGAAAGTGTCGAAATTGCCACGGAACTGGATATGTTAGCTACTATAACAAGAGAGGGAAGGAGACTCTTTGCAAATGCATACCCTGCATTGGAATTGGTATTGCTCTAGCACTGTATATCATTTTTTCATTGTCAGAAAGTATCCTGTCTTGTATGTACTTAGATGGTTTCTTTATTGCTATTATTATTTGATAAAATGCAAATGGAGTTTTGCATGACCCCGAAAAAACGTGCCAATACAATATCTTGTCATTTATGCAAGGGATTTTATTGGCCTTCTCCATCTTATGCTGCAAATTCATCCATCTTATGCTGCAAATTCATTTACGTTTCTTTTGCTTCTTTGCTTCTAGAACATTTACTGAATGAGATATCCTTCATTTCACAATGCTAGTGGTTTTGCACTTATGCCATGATTGCAACATGGATAGCATGCTTTAGCAATCTCATTCTTTTTATTATTTCTCCCATTTCATTTCAAATCTGAAGCTCAGAGGGCAAGAATTTAAACTTTTCAACTGTGTGGAATTAATTGCTTTTAGTAAAGTGTGTGCCTTTACCACTTTACCTCCATTGCACGAAGTGCTTAGGATCAGGACATGCTATATTTCCAACTTCAGACAACCTATGCGTTTGTCCATCTGTTTTAATCAAACATTTTGTTGACTTGTTACCTTCCAAGCCTTTGGACTTCACTTTTTAGTCCCTGTTGGACCCTTGGTAAAGCCTCAAAACAGATCGTGGATCAACCTTGCCTCACCTCTTTTAAAGATTATGCAACCCGTCCTCTTCCTCCTTTCACATCTCTGTGTAGGTGTGTTTGTTTTTGTGTTTTACAGTTTTACACAGTCTCCAGATCATCCTGCTGTTGCTCAACATCTTCTTTTTGCTCTATTGTCAGCATCAGTTTATTTAGTCCCCTCTTACTTAACTTTTTTCATAGATATATTGCATTTAGTGTTTGGTCCAAAATCAGTCTTTATCAATTGGTTGTTCTAAATTTATTATCCAGCGAGCAGATAGGTTATTGTTTATTTAGTATTCCACTTTTTGTGGCATAGCATCAGTCCAATAATTATTTGTTCTATATATGCTTCTTTCTGGTTCAGTTGTGAACTCAAACCTCCTTTATTTGTATCCATGATATCAATGATATGCATTATCCTTTGAACTTTAAACTAGCATTTTCAATTGCAAGGTTAATTTGGGGGAATCCTCTATTTCAACCAGCTTGAAGCTGCATATATCTCCAAATTCGTGCTTTTGATTTTAATTTGCCCCAATCTCTTTGACTGGTTTAATTAACCAAAAACTTCTGCTGTCTTACAAGAAGTTGTTTGAGAATATAGTCTCTCAACGTATTCTTAATGAGCTTATTACATTAAACATGTCGAAGCAGGAAGTTAGTGATGTGCTTCAGAGCCAATTGTAACCTTTCAAGTCCAAGTAAATGTGCATTCTTATTAAGTTTTTTTTTTTTTGGGTGGATGCTTGAAATGTTGTCGTCTAGAAACAGAATGTCAAACAACTCTTTCTGGTTGTGGAGTAGCCTACTTTAGCTAATTCTATCCCTAACAAACCTACTGAGTTTAGGCTATCAGTTGTAGGCGGGTGATCTTTTATGTTTTGGTCCTCAAACACAAGCCTAACTCCTTGATAACTGCAGGATATGTACGAAAGATAACTGCACGCAAGGACATTGATGTGATGGAGGACTTGGACAATGGAGCCCTCTGACATGGCGCATCAATATAGTCTAGACCCATATTACATTGCTCATTATTTGAAGGAGTTCAATTCCTCATTACTTCAGGATTCTTAGAAAGTTTTATGTATTCCAAGCTTTTGATAGTCATTTGGCGTTGTGTAGATATTCAAATGAGAGATTCGATGGCCCATAGATAAGGATGCCTTGTCGAGAAAAGTGCTCTTTTTGGGATTCTTTTTTCCAGCGTCAGAAGAAATCAAGAATTTATTCTTTCCCTATTAACATAAAATTACCATCTGTATTCCTCTCTTCATGTCCATTTACTTGAGAATCCGGCCGTCATGGGCAAGTTGGTGAGGAATAAAGTTATTCTGCCTTATCTCCTCCGTACTTAAGGTGCATAAGGTATATATGCCTTTTTGCTTGGTGATATCAAATTCGTATAACTGTTTCGTTATAATATTTGATGTGAAGACTCTAGACCTCATAGTGCTTGGAATTTGAGAAGCCCGTTGTTGTGGTCGCTCCTAACAGCAGCTGAAATATGCCAAAAGTTAGTTTTCTGGATTTCCAGTATGGCCTCTCGAAAAGAAATTTTTTACGGAAGCCATCTCGTCTGTTTTCCAAAGATGGGCAAAATTCTAGTAAGTTACCCGCTTATCAGCAAAGCTTAGAGGAGACGAAGCAGGTTTTCGACAAATATGACGCAAACAAAGATGGCAAGATTTCACCTGAGGAGTACAAGGCCATATTGAAAGCCCTGGGAAAGGGAAATCCGATTACAGTAGAAGTGAAAAAGATATTCGAGGTGGCAGATTTGGATGGTGATGGATTCATTGATTTCAAAGAGTTCGTGGAAGTGCAGAAGAAAGAAGGCGGGTTAAAGACGGCGGACTTACAGAACGCTTTTCGGACATTCGACATGGATGGCGATGGAAAGATAACTGTGGAGGAAGTTTTCGAGTTGTTGCAGAAACTTGGAGAGAGGTGCAGCATGAAGGATTGTAGAAGAATGGTCCGAGCTGTTGATGCCAATGGGGACGGTGTGATTGACATGGATGAATTCATGACCATGATGACTCGCACCCTCAAACTTACTAGTTACTAGACGAACAGGGAGCTGCCTGGATATATTGTCTGTACATCTTCCCGTACCACATTTTACTATTCTATCTGGAAATTCCCCAGCCACTGTATGTGCAATCCAAACATATATATCTATATGTTTTATCTGAAACTCGTTTTCTCAATATGTTTCTCCTCCTTCACCATTATTCAGAACAAACACAAGTTTGGTCGCAGGACCGCAATAAAAGGTTCGACTCCAGCTAGTTCCTGTGGTTGTTCTAATCCTCCTTCTGCTCAAATTTGGGTGGGGAAAAGATATATGCTGTCTCTGGCAATTTAGACAATTGCATGACATAATAATACCAACTGCGAAAAAAATGTCATGTACTTTGAAATATCGTGCATGAAGTTGGAGCATTATGGCGAGTAAAATATGTTGATTAATTAGCGTTGAGTAGTTGTGTAAACAAAATATGCAGACAGATCATGCTATCAAAGTTTCAATCATGAAGGTCTTTTGTTATAGCTTTCTCATCAAATCATGTACTACTCTTAGTAAATTCATTAGATACTACTCCATAATTAATTCACGTAATTGATTGACAGAGTCTAGTATCAAAAAGAAAGAAATAGGAGTAGTTATGAGAGAAGTTCGCTCTTTTACCATGAGAAACCGTAATAGTGCTCCATCCTTGTAGTAACAAGCTAGTACTCATATAGCTTTGAAATACTAGTAACATCCCTCTCGTAGAAAAAAAAAAAAAAAGGGAAAATATGAATATTAATGGATACGATGGTTTTAACGTGTAATGAATTATAACAAGACGTCTTTTTAAAATTTGTTTTAGTATAAAACTTTGAATCCAAAACTTGGATAAACTGGATAATGATGTGACATAATCTGAGTTACTGAGTTTTTGAAGATCGGATCTATCCAAGTGTGATTCATACTTCTAAACATTCTTTTGGGCCCAAAAAAAAAAAACAAAAAAACTTATAATATACATATGTTCTGTAGCCGCCTCCCCACGATCCATTTTTAGCGCCAAAATAAGTTGTAGCAGGTTTAAAAGAAGCAGAGCAACTAGGACGGACCGAGTACGACAGCGTCCGAGAGAAGCCACAGATAAGAAATGGAAGACGAGGACGATGCGCTGACCGATCCAGACCCCAGCGATACCGGCCACGACTTCACCTGTGAATCCGAAGACGATCCAGACTACAAATCATCCACTAGCGACAACGATGGTCACGATATCGACGCCGAAACATCCAACATTTATCCAGCTCCGGCAAACCAAGACAGAAAGTTGCAAAACGTCGACGCTCTTGTCAGGTTAGTCGTTCGATTAAATATCTCATCCACTTCACTTTTCTGATTCACGTGTTGGGACTTAATTACCTTTTTTTTCCCTGGTAGGAACACTTGATTATTTTAGTTCTATACTATATTACATAAATTAATAATTAGGGTTAGGATTCCTTTGTTCAGTATTTGCTATGTATATATTGTTACATATAGCAGTTGAATGTACACCTCGACTTAGCTCGAAATGTGTAATTACCAGGGGAAATCTAGTAGTGAAAAGGCAGTCATTACTTCCGCGAGTTTATTCTGTGACGGATGCAGCAGCTAGCGTTAGGAAGCCATTTAAACCTCCTTGCTCAAATGGCTACTGCGATAACAATGAACAGCTAGCACGACGCCTGTGGGCTCGGAAAAGGTTTGTGCCCTGGGGTTCCTCTAGACCGGCTTTGCTTGGTATTACAAATAGGCTAAACGTCTCTGAGACTGCTGAGACAGAAGTGGTGGAAGAGAGTGTGGAATTACCACCCGGACTTGAACCTTTGGTGTTATGGCAGCCTGAGGAGGTGGACTGTAACTCGACAACAATTATAGTGGATCCCTTGCTTGTAAAGTTCCTTCGGCCCCATCAAAGGTACTGGAAATGATAAAAACGTTCAGGTGTATGTAATTGTGGTAGGGTTACTGGTGAATACCACTGTTATTCTAGAGCATCTCTGATGCAAGATTCTTAGACACCAAAAACCCAAATCACAGTAACATGTATACGTATGGGAAGGTTTGAAATTCTGAAATCATTTTGGGAACTTGCTTAATTCCATAATGCAGGGAAGGGGTCCAATTCATGTTCGAATGTGTTTCAGGATCACTAAGTTCTGCTAACATCAATGGATGCATTTTGGCAGATGATATGGGGTAAACACTAATGCATGCCTATTTAAAAATTTCCGCTAATATATTTAGCACTTTCCACAAATCCTTTAAAGATGGCTATCTCACCTAGCTGTTTTCCTGCAGTTTGGGGAAAACATTGCAGTCAATCACGCTGCTGTATACTCTCCTTCGTCAGGGGTTTGATGGGAAACCAATGGTAAAGAAGGCAATTATTGTGACACCGACCAGTCTTGTGAGTAATTGGGAGGCTGAAATTAAGAAGTGGGTCGGCGAGAGAGTTAAGCTTGTTGCCCTATGTGAAAGCACTCGTGATGGCGTTGTCTCTGGCATTGACAGTTTTGTCAGTCTGCAAAGCACTTTACAGGTATAATTTCTAAAACAATCTGAGTTATCTGAAATCGGATTATGTTTTATGTATATATGGTGTTCTCGCAGGTATTAATTGTTTCGTATGAGACCTTTCGGATGCATTCTTCAAAGTTTAGTCAGAGTGAATCCTGTGACCTCCTCATATGTGATGAAGCCCACAGGCTGAAAAATGACCAAACACTGACTAATAGAGTGAGTCATAGTGAATATGTCCTCCTATTTGTGTTCATGCATTTCTGAGGGAGCTGTTATGATGAATAACTCTTAGTTACAGATCTGAATTTCCGCTTCAGGCATTGGCAGCTTTATCATGCAGGCGGCGCATTCTATTGTCTGGGACTCCAATGCAAGTCAGCACAAATTGACCTTCAGATATTTACCTATATATATATATTTTAAATTTTTTCTTCATTTAAATCACATTTATTCTTCACTTTGTTGATGCTATTTAACCATCAGAATGATTTGGAGGAGTTCTATGCCATGGTCAATTTTACTAATCCAGGAGTCTTGGGTGATGCTGCATATTTTCGTCGTTACTATGAGGTGAGCTGATTGCTAGAAACTTATGGAAATTGACCTGTCCTGGCCAACTTTGAGTAAAAAGGTTCCTTGCTGAGTTCCAACTATTTGGAGCTTATGTACTAGATTAGCCTCATATGGTTGCTAACAGTGTAAACAAATTGACTGATGCACTGACTGTGCTTTTGCTTGTGACAAAAATGAAGAAATCATAGAGATCCTGTACATGGATACATGATATTCATAGTTGTATTAAAATTGTTTCTGTGCTGTCTCAAGCATGTATTTCAATTTGTTGTACCATGTCTATTTGAAGATGCCAATCATTTGTGGTAGAGAACCCACGGCTACCGAAGAAGAGAAGAAGCTAGGTTCTGAGCGCTCTGCTGAGTTGAGTGCCAGAGTAAACCAGGTAAAATTTCATTGCTGATGCAAATATTGTAAATCTGGCCTTTTTTAATTGGTTCTTCAGATACAGATCTCCCAACAGGACTTTCCTTCAAAAGGAAGACAATACATGTTTGTGCCATTAAATACTGATTACATCTTTGAATACTTTCCTGAAAACATAGAAGAAGCAAATTGACCTCGGTATTCTCTGACACAATAGTGTTTTCTCGTTCCAGTTTATATTGAGGAGGACTAATGCATTGTTGTCGAATCATCTGCCGCCAAAGGTATGGCTAATCTTGTTAAGTTTGCCTTTGGTATTGATCATGCTATCTAGGAATTCCAATGAGAATAGGAAACTACAAACCATGAGTCAATTTTCTATAGCAGTGAAACCAGAAAGCTGATAGTGGCCGTTCTTTACCAGAGAAATTATAACAATTGAAAGCTAACTTCATAAACCCCATAACTAGTCCCTGTTCTATTTCCTATTTTCTGATAAAGCTATAACCCTAAAGACCCTTTATAATAAACTTATAAGTATAGTGCAAATTGTTTTTCAGGATAAGTAGTATAGTCAAAGGGTATGATAAAGTTAAAGTTATAATAAAGCTATATCCTGCTGGTATGACTGTACTACTTATAATAAAGTTGAAAGAGATTCTTATATACTTTTTGTTATTTCTGATTTGATTCTTTCTTATTGGTCCTACTAATTGCTTTTGCAGATAATTGAAGTTGTTTGTTGCAAGTTGACATCTCTCCAATCAGAGCTCTATAATCACTTCATACATTCAAAAAATGTACAAGTTCACGTTTCTTTGTGATACAAGTTGACATGCACATAATGAGTTCTTTTCTTCATTGTAACACAAATCCATTCTCTTTCTGTAACTGTAAAGTGCAGGTCAAACGAGCAATTACTGAAGATACGAAACAATCAAAAATCTTAGCTTACATAACAGCTCTTAAGAAGCTCTGTAATCATCCAAAGGTATAACATTTTATCATAAAAGAAAAGTTTATCGCTTATATTTTAGGATGTTTGTCCAAATTATCCTGTTTGACCAAAAAGCATCAACTGTAAAGTACACGTGGTGCTCTTGATATACATAGTTTCTCTTTTTACATATTAGTTTTGTCAAATGATAACTCCATTATGTAATCTTTATGTTTGGCTAAAATGACTATTTCTCTATTTAGTTGATATACGATACAATAAGAAGTGGGAGTCCGGGAACATCTGGATTTGAGGACTGCTTGCGCTTTTTCCCTCCAGAGATGTTTTCAGGAAGGTAAGTGTATTTATTTATTTTTTGTTCACTTGAATACTTTCATGTTGATCTGAGTCCTAAAGGCATCTTCTGCCTTATTGTTAGATCTGGATCATGGACTGGTGGTGATGGCACATGGATTGAACTGTCAGGAAAAATGCATGTGCTTGCTCGTTTACTGGCTCATCTCCATCAGAGAACTAACGACCGAATTGTTCTAGTCTCAAACTACACACAGGTATCAAATGTTGGGATAACTGGCTTATGAAGTTGGTGGATAAAGTATTTACTTGTTCTGTTGATTAAGATCTTGTGGTTGATATCTCACATGATATCACTTGGTTCACTCAATTATTCTGTGTCATTGGTTGTTGTTCTACTTAGCTTTCAATTTAATCTCGTGTCATCAGGTCTTGGCTTACATTTTTTGTTGCTGAGGGAACTGTGATTACTTACTATTTTTTTGCTGTAATTGATTGCATATCATGCCTGAACTTGTACTGCAGTAGATTGTCAAGTTCTTATAATTACCATTTGGTCATACCAGCAGGATATAAATGAGTATATCAGACTCCTTTTCATTGGGTTCTTTATGAACTACAGGACTTCTATTTGTGGTAGGTATTGTTATGCATGCTGTCTTCAACTCTTTCTAATTAAAATCTAAGTGGTAGATAAGTAAACAGGGAAAGAACTTAACAAAGAGCAGACAGTTGATTTAATCAGTCAAAAGAACCACAAGGTTTAATTCTTCTATTTGTTGGTCGCATCATTAAATATCCCAAATTTGAATGGCGTCCTCGTCTGCATAGCTTGGTTTTGAAACTAGATTTAGATTTGCTATTAATAACAAATCCTTGAGAACCTGTCACAATAATCTACATGGTAATCAGTTAATGTCTCATTATTCCCTTTTAAGTGTAGATGAACATATGTTTGGTGGTATCACCTGTTTCTTCTCTTTGTTCACGTATATATGGGTATCACCTTTTATCAAAACCTTATGTTCATGTATCACTTCAATTAGTTATTGTAAGTAGATTAGAGCTTGCAGGTTTCTATACAGTCTTGGTTGATGATGAATATTTGGTTCTAATTGTAACTGAACCCATTTCAAGAAATTACTAGGCACTTATCCCGTAGCACACTGCAGTTTTTCTTCCTCTTTTATTTCTCTTGTGATAATTGTCTCTGGTTTATCAGACATTGGACCTTTTTGCGCAATTGTGTCGTGAACGAAGATATCCCTTCTTAAGGCTTGATGGAACTACATCTATCAGTAAAAGACAAAAATTGGTTAATCGTTTTAATGATCCATCTAAGGTAACTGTTTTATCCCTGGACTTCTGGTTTATGCTCTAGAAGACTACCTTTATTACAGATAAATTTGTTTTTATTCTTATTTTTAAATGTAGGATGAGTTTGCATTTCTCTTGAGTAGCAAGGCTGGGGGTTGTGGCCTAAATTTGATAGGTGGAAATCGACTTGTGTTGTTTGATCCTGATTGGAACCCTGCCAATGACAAACAAGTAAACTTCTTCAGCTGCACCAGCATTGATTTATATGCCAGACTGCATGCAAATAAAATAATCGGAAGTTGACTATATTCAGGAATCTGTAGCATGGTCATTAAGTTTTCCATTTTCAAGCCATTTTCAGGCTGCAGCAAGAGTCTGGAGGGATGGACAAAAGAAGAGAGTTTACATCTATAGGTTTTTGAGTACAGGAACCATTGAAGAAAAAGTATTTACCTCTTTCCTCGGTTGCTTATTGAATATGAATTGGTTTTTAAAGCAGGGTTGAAAGCTGTCCTTAATATTTCTACAGGTATACCAGCGTCAGATGTCAAAGGAAGGGCTTCAGAAAGTTATTCAGCAGGAGCAATCGGAGTCTGAGGTTCAGATTCTCATTTAGCTGCTCTCTCTGTTCATCTTAGTCCCAGTTTCTCATGAAAAATCTGTAATTGCAGGGGAACCTTCTTTCAGCTGAAGATCTAAGAGACCTGTTCACTTTTCATGAGAATGTGAGGTGTGTACTTATCACGAAACTTTCACATGAATGTTTTACGGAGAAATCATGTACATCCTTGGATAAAAAGATGGACAGATAATTGTGGTTTGGATGAGGCTTGTTTCCTGAAAAGTCAACAGCAGTTCATTTATTCTTTGCCAATGGTCCTGAGAAAAACAGAAAAGGAAAGTTATAAAGCATGGAAAATTCCTTGCCCATTAGTGTCAGATTATCTGTTCATGATGTGCTTGTTTTAGAAGCTCCACCTATCAGATACTGCTTTATTAATTCTTGAAACCAAAAAGTACACTCTTAACCATTATCTGAAGTAGGAAAATTATACCTTATCAGATTTAGTTGTCTAAGTGCGTGATCTATTCGACTTAATTGACAATAGTGAGATGAGCTATGTATCACCTAATAAATTCTTCCTTGCTTCTTAAATGTGGTGGTTTTGTTTTATTTGGACATTTGATCTTAAGTTTCATTGCGGTTTATTTTTCCCAGTTGTAATACCAATGCAGATCTGAAATTCATGAGAAGATGAGCTGCAATCGTTGCCAAAACTATGTGATGCAAGTGGATGCCAAACTTGAAACAAGCTATGGAAGTCCATCATCTCAATCTGAGGAAGAAGATATAGGGGGATTTGCTAGTGTTTCTGGGTGCTTACATAGATTAAAAAGCTCGGAGAAACAGGTTGGAAAATTCTTCAATGAGAATCTGTATTAACATGATATATTTTGAGGACTCAAAAATTTGAAACCTTTTTCAAGGTGGGGACGCCCAAAGAAGAAGATTTAGCTAATTGGGGTCACCATCTATTTCCACAGTCAATACCTGATACTATTCTTCAGTCTTCAGCAGGGGATGAGGTCAGTGAAGAGTGCTAATTTCCTAATTCATGGCTTTTCCTCTTTCTTACGGTAACTTCTATGTAGATATGGAAAAAGCATGTCCTAGTTTTGCAGATTGGTGAAAAACAAGAAGACTCGGTTAACTAATAACTTTCTCTTGCCTTTTGCTCCTTTTTCGCATTGTTTACCCTATTATAGATTATGTTCTATTTAACTATTGGTCTTCATGTACTATACCTTTGTTTTTCTCATCTATAAGGGTTAGGCATATACATTGGTCATCTAATATGGCTTGATAAAAAAATAAATAAAACTATTAACCTATGCATCTCAGCATCTCAGGCCCTAATGTTACAAAAGGGGGTATTTTTCACTTAAACAGATATAAGAAGGCTTTCTAACTCTATGAGAAAGCAATATTCTTCTAGTTCCCGGTTCAATTTCTGCTTTCTTTGAATGAAGACGTCTAATGCTTTATATTTCAAAATCCTATTAAGTCTGCTTTTTGAATCTGTACAGGTACAAATGCCTTGTGTGACTATTAACCCAAGTGGAAAAAATGGAAATTTTACCCTGATCATGAAACACGAATGATATCAATTTGTCATTGGATGTCCTGTTATTTCTTTCCCTGTATGTAGCACATGAGATAGAAGCCCATAAATTTGTGTGGTTTGCTTTTGCAGGTTTCATTTGTTTTCACTAACCAAGTAGGCGGGAAACTTGTTCCACTTGAATCAGCAGTAAGGTCAAACACAGAAGAAGGACGCCCCAAGAACCTGTTGAACTCAAAAGAAATTTTTTTTCACAAATCAACCTTGTCATCTCAAAATCAAGCACCATTTCCTTTACTTTCTACCAATGTGGTTCAGTACGGGAGCAGATTATCTAATCCTTTCAAGCGTCTGCAGAAGCCCCCGGCAAAAGTAGTAAGACCTTCTGAAGGCGTGACAGTTGTAGCATTGGAGCACAAAATCAGCCCTCAAAATCAATTACCTCAAAAGAGAATATTTACTGATGATAAAATTGACAATGATTTTGACTAAACTTTAGCTTCTTGGCATGTTCTCTTTGGCAGTTTCCGTTTTTATTAATTCCTGAAAAATTTCCCAGTCATCTACTGAACAATGCAAATTCTCATCACTATCATTCCATAAGATTCTGATTAGAACTTTTCTTTGACTGGTTCATATACTCATTAACAGTTGCACTGATTAGCATCCAACTGTTGCTGCCATTTATATTTCAACATCTCCTTTAGTTAAAGACTTTAATGCAGAAACTTCCTCAGTTTTTTCTTGATGCAGATCAGCCACATGAATGATTTTTGTTTCATTTTTGTTCTTTCTCCCCCCCCCCCCCCTTCTTTTCATCTTTGCTGTAATCAAGCGAGACTGGCATGGTTCAAGATGAGCAGAACTTGTGAAGTTGTATTTGTGATCAACTGATCATGTCATTTAAAGAGGAAAAAATCTGTTCAAGTTTAACCAGTGCAATCCCATTAACGTAGACAGTTTTATTTTGCAGATATCGCATTGTTCTATGTGTGGAGAATGAATGTGTTTTCAGAAACATTTGAAATAGCATGTAGCACTTGCTTATTTGTTTATTAAGAGTAAGAAGCAGAAACAACTGGATCTCTTTTTTCTAATATGAATGCCGTCAATTATGTTAATTCAATTTTTTGATAGAATTCCTTGAGCAATTTCTCTGACTCCACATGTTTGCTAAGTTGGTAGAATAAATGATGATCCTTTGTATCTCTCTGATGCATGTTGATACTAGCCTACTAGAGAGTAGCAGCAGTTAGGGCTTCCAGCATAGTTTCCATATTAATTTGTAGTTATCATTCCCGTATGTGAAGTTCTGATGTGTGACTTGGCCATCTGTTCATAAGATCCTGCACATCGTTTTACAATTTCTACTTGGGTAAAATAGCAGTTGTCACATCTAATTGGCTGCATTTAAAATCCTATGAAGATGCTCTCTCTCTCAGCGTGGGTTCTTAATATATATATATATATATATATATATATATATATATATATATATATATATATATATATATATATATATATATACTCTCTGGTTTATTTATTTATTTCTCCAGCAGAAGAATAAGCAAGTTGTTGTGCATTGCATAATGCTCCAACCATGATTCACTCAGTTTTGCAGAAGTAACTTAGAGAATGTAGAACAAGATTGTCAAGTCAAGCAGTAATTAGACTTGACTGAATTCAGAAATCTTCCTTTTGGATTATGATCTTGCTCCAGGTTCCAAGAATAAGCAAAAACTGAGAGCATCTCGTATTTGCCATGGTTTTGGATTATGACTTTGCATTTACTCTTCACTAGCATCTCTATGGTGAAGAGCACGTGTCATTTTTGAGCCCCCTCTTCTTTTGACCCACTGTCTTACTTGACTGGATCGATCGTTCATTGGTCACCTGTTGTTAGAAAGAGAATCTTTATGCTGTTACGAAAACTACCAAGTTTTATTTTCACTCATGAAAGAGCTAACTTAGGTTAAGAGCTAGAGTGCCCCATCCTTTGCCTGTAATTGAGGATAGGACTGATTTCGTGATTGTCAAATGGGTTGGCCCATCATCTTGTATCAATTCTTCAGTTTTGACTACGGAGAGAGTCATTCTTAATCTCTAACTACGCAGAATGTTGGGAAGATTATCGGTTTTTTAACTTCAGATCGATTGGTTTGTTTGTACTTCTCAGAATAGGGGCAACATGCAAAGCACCAAATTAAGAAAATGTTGGATCTGTCTCTCGATCTGACGCTGCAAAATGGGCCTGAAAAACCAACATACACGAGGTATAGGAGAAAATGGAGGTATTTTTCTTTTATTTATAATAGGCAAGAAACAAAGTCTGTTCACCATAAGGGAGACCAGAAGAGACAGGTTACCCACGGGCCAAGCGTTCCTCCACTTCTTCATGAGGTTTATCCAGTTGTTTTTTGGGACCTTTTTAAAAGTATTAATAGCTTTGGCAACGGGAATCGGCAATCTGTTGCATAGTTATTGGATGATCTTCTGTAAGTTCCTACTGAGCAATGGATAACATGTGAACTGGAATCTCTTTCACCATGTAATGGTTATTAGTAAAAAGCCTGACTCCAAAGCCTAAACTAGTCTTGGTTTTTGGATTTGTCGGTTGAAAGACTTCGAAGTGGTTCAAACGCACATGTACTGGGGAATAGTGCGTATGTCACCATTGCCAGATAAGCATGGTTCAAAGGCTCGGCCGAAATCGAGATCGAGTCATCATCGGAATAGATCTCTCCGTTTCGATATTGAAATTAAATGACTCTAAGACATATGGATCGCCGATAAATCGACCGTGTCACTGAGAACTCGACCGAGAAGTCTCGGATATAAATAGTCTCAGTCGAGTCGGATCGAGTCATCTCGAATCAAATTACAAATTTATATTTTACAGATTTTCTTTTACTAATTTTTTAAATTATTTTTATTTAGCATATTTTTTAATATTATTCATAATTTTTAGAATATTAAATGCTTCAAAATCTGCGTCTCATCAAGACTGTGACTGATATGCTGAGATCGATGTGGAACGGTTGGAGCCGTAACCGTGACTTTGAACCATGCAGGCAAGTCCAAGAAAAAAGACCACCATCTAGAATGAGTGGCTTATCTCATAAAACTTACTTAATACTATAAGGGCTCAAAAACGAATTTTGCAGTTTACTCAATGGCATGGAGTTACTAGCATATCACTACGCTCTCGTTTGATCTTAATTTTTCATCATTAAGGCAGGAAAACTAGACTGATGTTCGAATCAATCTCGCTGATTGTGATGATAATCAGGCAACTGATCTCGAGTTAGGACGTCTCCAGGTGGCCCCTGAGTAACCTCCAAGAATACTTCAAAAGCTAAAAGGAAAACTGTAACCTCCTAAAATTGAAGTCACCAGATTCCACCTTAAATATGAAGGCACTTGGGTTTAAACTTTAAGCAGTGGTCAGAAATGTGACAGCAGAAAGGAGTGGGAGTAGGACTGGAGTTAGAGCTTATTCCCATTATGTGCATGAAGTGCGAGCCTAATATTTTTCCCCCTAATCAAGTGAGCCCAATGCTCTTCGTGTAGGAGCTGAGAAACTATAGCTGCTTCAACAAGATATTGCAATGCGTCTGAAATTCAAGGCGTATTCTACAGTGGAAACAATTAGGACAGCTGTTCAATGAATCATCACTTCAAAAAGAACGCACAAGTCAAATAGCATGTGTTAGGCCTTAGAATATGCAAAAAGAATTTATCCCTTTTGCTTCCCATGTTCTGCATTACCGACTTTGTTTGACCGCTTTAGCGAGCAGGACTAAATTGGAGTAATCTGCAAGTCTAGGCCGTAATTTGATTGGCTAGAACTGGATCCTTTTCAGAGCTGAACAAAACAAGCAAGCTATAAGAGAGACAGACTGAAGTATCCGGCCGGCGAAGGGCCTACGTAGTTATTAAATTGAAGGAGAAAAATCTGATTCCAGTTGAGGACGAGGCAACTATTGCATAGTACAACAAAGTATATATCTGTTACTTTAAGCAAACAGCAGCCATTGTTGACTCTCCGTCCTGATAAATATTTAGTAATCCAACCCAGCATAAAGGATGAAAAGCCCAAAAAAAAAAAAAAAAAGATGATGTGAAGGGTGAACAAAGAGGATTCAATGATACTCACTAATAGTCGATTTTTAGTTCGACCAATCGACTTATCGTATTTCTAGATGTGGCGGTATGTGAAAATGATGACCGAGTACAAACGACTAGTTGACAATGCTATTCCATCTTCTTCAAAGATGAACAACAAGAAAAGGAGGAGTCATCTCTTGAGCTAGCCCATGGTTTTAGATGTGGCATAATCCATTGCTGAAAGTGGGTTCTCATGCATGCAGATGCAATCAAGTCATTAAATTGGCTCACCAAATATAGAAAAAACTAGAAATGAAAATGTAGCTACTAATACAACTAGAAAGTCTAGATGCCAACCCCTTCCACGGTTCCACCACCCCACGCACTTGCTGGAGTAACTTAAACTACTCCATAATTATAAACTTTTTTTGCAGTAATTGCGGTCATCTTGTCCTCTTCGTGATATAATTGTCATGGGAGTAGCTAAGTTACTTCAATGGATATGGATTCTGCACAACTTTCATGCAATTTTTTTAACCAAAAGGCAATAATAGGAACTTAGACTAATGAGGAAAACTAAAATCCAATCTACATAAAATGAGGAAGCAAGAAACCCCCTGTATAAATAGCGGGGTTGTTGCAAGTTACATGGTAAGTAGTGAGAAGAAACCTCGAAAGTGATCACTTAGTTTCAGTGTCCATGGCATGCTTAAACATGTTCAACAATGACCAACAAGGTCTCCACGCTGCAATGGGCCCAAGAATCTCCTTCTCTAATGACTTTGCCGACACCCAACAACCCACCAAGCACGATCACAGCTATAGAGAAGCACCAGTTTCCTCAGATTTCGAGTTTTCGGTGTCTGGTTACAACATGATTTCTGCGGATGAGGTCTTCTTCAAGGGCAAAATTGTACCCACCAAGACCACTCTCAGAGATGAACTCCTTGTGGAGGATGACGACATGGATGTGTCGTCACCGCGACTACACAAGGGTATGAGCCGATGGAAAGAGCGTTTAGGCCTCAAGAGATCTAGCATCCATCATCTACGTAGGAAATCTGCTGATAGGACTGTTTCTGATCAAGTCCTTGAAAGAATTGATGAGACGACCTCCACAACTTTGGCATTCCACGAGAATATGTTTGCTGCTAACCTCAAGGGTGAAAACTAGATGCGCTACTTGAGACCCAGACCCAGAAAATGATAAGTCTCTTCAAAATAATTCTGAATTGATTTTCTGGTCACAGGTGCTTGCTGGCAGATCTTGGATGGAATACTTTAAAGGAAGGTGGCAAAGGAATTATTCGCAGAGCTTGCTAAAGTTTCCTCTCTGTCGCTGACCCGTGTGGAGAAGAGAACTGGGATGGTCAAGAATTTTTGTTTCTGTCTGTCAACTTTTCCCGTAGGAATTACTACATGTGCAGCGTGCATAGATCCGCTCTTCCATTCTTCACGTTATTGTACAAATATCTTTGCTGTCAGGGTTTTTCAGTTTCATTTCATGTAGATTGTTCATGCCTCTGATTCGACAATGCTCTTCTGCTGGGCTTATTTCTTTGCTATAAAGATCAGATCACGTTTGTTATTGCTTGTAGTTGTACCAATAGGACGTGATTTTTATTCATTTCGCTTTAATGCCATGCATGCAAAAGCGCCAGACTGACCAGAAACCTCCCAACCCACATTTCAACAGTGAGTAAATTCATAATCCAGGTCGTTAGTTATGTACTAATACTATCTATCATCTTTGAATGACACTAACACTGCCCACCCGCATCCTCCTCTTCTTTTCAGCCAGATTTTTAAAATGGTTAGGAAATCAGAAACTCTGGTGGATATGAAATTCTATACACGAAGGCTATAGTAAAGAGAGAGAGCGAAATGTCCAGAGTTTTTAAGTGTGAAATTGGTTCCAAAAGAGCCTTGAGAGCACACCGATGTAAGGTTGGATTCAATCGTGAAGGCTAAAGAAAGAACCAAAATTGAAACAGCAATCATAGAATAGGCAGGCTGAGGACAGGTAAGAACTGGAAGATTTTTCTTTTAAGCAATCGACAATACAACAAAATAATTAAAATGCCTCGGAGGTTAGTGACACAGAATATTAGAAATCTTTCAGGCGAGAATTTGTAATGGCGTCCAAAGTTCACCCTGCCATTTCAACGAGCAGGATTTTCAAATTTTGTGACATGCCAGCCAAAAATCGGAAATTTCAAAATCCAGCGGCGAGGATTTACAATTATTACCAGATACTGCTCAAGACGACTTCAGAACCTGAGGAAGATTTTGCAGCATTTTGTTGTCAATGCTTTCATATGCAGCTTAATGGAGCGGGACAAAAATTCCTTACCAAACGGACGAGAAGAGTTGACAAGAAAAATTCCTTGCCAGTTCAGAAGATGCCGCCATTTCAATTGTGAAAGGCTAGAAAAGCACTACGCAACTTGCATGCGTCCCAAGTGACAGAGCAGCATGGACCAAGGTTTGCTACAGAATTGAAATGTTAATCCATTCCAGACACACAAGGCGGTAGAGTTCCAATTCCCCAACGAAGACCTTGCCAATAGTTTTGGGAGTACCTCCCTCCCTCTTATATTAGCGCATCCGATGCCAGTTAAGTGATGTCCCAGTTTAAGGTGCCAGCTATGAACTGGTCATAACAACTAAAAATATAACCTGCAATGGCAAGTCGACCTTGCCAATAGAAGTTCACAAGCACCAAATCACTTGCCAAGAGAGGGAAACAAAGCCGAATCTCCCTGCGGCTAATCCTCACATAATCCAGTTAATGACATTTTGTAATTCCGCAAGGGATTGTGCGGCAGGGGTGATCATCTCGTGAACGTCAGGCTCACGTGTGCACCCTTGATCATTAAATCATCCACCTGGTATATCTTCATAAAATTCAATTACACTGACAAAATGGATGAGAGAAAATGAAAATCCAATAAATTGCTTCAAAAAACTGATGAGCTATTTACAAGGAAAACTATGTCCTGTGAAACACTAGGTAAGTTTAACCAAATACAAAAAGGACTATGGTACAACAAACATCAATTACCAATGACCTCAATTGCAAGGCTTGGCTTGTTGGCAAAACTACTACAAATCACCTGGTATTTACATTTATTTACAGGTTCTGTCTTCTGACAGTAAAGAATTTCTGCAGTTTCACTATCTGTACACCTGCATATGGTAAAAAGGAAATCAGTTCCACGAGTCAACAGATACGATAACAGAGCAAAGAATAGAGAGTATAATGAAAACAGACATTATGAATAGTGAGATTAAGCATATTAAGGTCCCAAGTACATTCCCAGAAAGAGGTCCCAAGCGTATGCCATACATTTTTATTATTTTGTCTGTAAACATCATACACAACTATTAACAGACTTGTGGAAACTTATACATCATTCCTTTCTCTGTAAACATTTCTTCAAAGGAATAATGTACAATGACATCTTTGTTATTTCTGATATCCTAATCACATGTGATGTTTTCTCCAAAGCACATTTTAGCAATATTTCTCGTCTTCTGCTGTATGGTCTATTTGGTTCACGTCTATCACTCATTGACGTTAGACACACAGCATGAAATTTACTTCAAGAATAGGACACCTCAAACAGTGTGAATGTATCAATCACTAACAGATCATGTGTTTGTCTTATATACAGTGTATACCTATTACATGAATTCCCTTTGCTGAGATGAACCCAAGTATTTATCCAAAGACTCTTTCTTGTGCTCTGGATCAAGGCTGCAGGAGAACATATGAAAACGACATTAGTTCTAATAACTTAAAGGTACAGCTCATTACTAATTCTGGACGACAAACAGATTATGCGTTTTACAGCTGGGATCAGGTAGGGATTACCTGTTCCTCACACCAAGAAGAGCATAATGCACAGCTCGTGCAGCAGCAGAAGCTGGAGCTACCGCTGCCACAGGAGTAGCTTGAACAACAGCCGCCAAAGCAGAACCCACACCATCTCCCCGTTGATATTTTTTCAATGGAGTTCGTACTAAAGCAGAAGCAGATTTACCAAGGCCATCACTGATACTATGATAAGCCTAAAAAATTACAAACATCAGAATCCTAGATAGATTTATTTAGGAGAGTTATTATCACATATTGCTTCAAGAGGCAAAATAAATTTTAAATTCACTAAATGTCAACTGCAATGCACATCACAATTAGGTTAATTAATTGCAACAGAGTATACAACTCTAAGTATAAACATCCGCTTTATATCTTTAGCCTTTGAAGTACCCAAACCGTGGATTAATCAGGAAAAGAATGAGTAAATAAGGGATAAAACAAAGAGGAGGGAGCGATGGGTTGGGTAGTTTTTTTTTTTGGGGGGGGGGGGGGGGCTCACTATAAGAGAGCCTGAACATACAGTCTTTCAAGTGGTCTTACAGTCACGGGAAAAGTTACTTTCATGCTTATACCAATTTCAGTTATATCAAACAGAAACAGCCTTGCAGCATGGTCAACTTTAAGTGGATAATAAACTTGCCTCTAATGATAGAGAGCACGTTATAACTCACATTTGCAACGGGAGCTATCATTTCCTATCATCATTATCATTACTATATAAAAAGTATGATGAGTTTCAGCAATAGGAGTGTAAGCATAATTTGATCTTAGTTTTTGTTATGTCTAAATTAACCTCATGACTTTTATTGCATTTCAATCATGAAACTAATAAGAAAAATGAAAAGTTTCAATAGATTACATCTCAAAAATGTTGGTAATTAAAATTAAAAACTGCCCACTTACAATTATATTCACCAATCATTTTCTTCATCTCCAATTATTGTGTGTTAAAATTATCTCCAATTATTATATTCTTATACGTGATAATTAAGGCCTTGTTTGGCAAACAAGTTTTTTGCCAAGTTTGTCTGCTACAAGTTTTTTAACAACTTTAACTACAATAATATCAAAAAACTTCTCAAAAATTTTAAATTATATACTTCAAAATATCCAAACATTTACATACTTCAAAAAAATTTTCTACAACTTCTACAGTAAGCTACAGTAAAGTTTTAGATAAACACCCAAAAACTCGCCAAACGGGGCCTAAAGCTAACTATATTTTATACACATATTGGTTCAGAAGAAAATCACAATTAATAAGAAGACAAAAGGTTATAAACACTTAATAAGAAAACAAAAGGTTAAATTGATGATTAAATTCACTATATTATGACAAATTGACTAAGAAAACTTCAAAAAAAATTATCGATAATTATAAAAAACATAACAGAAAAGGTTTACAACTACTAAAATTGATAAAAACTTGTTGTATCCAAATCATAACGTTTTAGTATGTATTTTGCTCAAGTTTTGTTGTATACACAGGTTTGACAGAACATAGAAATCATAACGTTTTAGTATGTATTTTGCTCAGGTTTTGTTGTATACACAGGTTTGACAGAACATAGAATATTTCCTCTTCTTACTGTCACAATCCAAGTAAGATATGCAACAACTTAGTTTAGATATGATAATCTTTCATCTTTAGAGTTCAATAAACTTTTAATTGCTTTGTATATTAAAAACGTTTTCTATAACTAGCAACTGCTTAATTTTGTTTATTATATGGTTTCTTAGTCAATATTATACCAACAACTTAGTTTAAATATGATAATCTTCCATCTTCAGAGTTTTTATAACTGTAAAATGCACAATAAACTTTTAATTATTTTGTACACAATAAACATTTTGTACAATTACCAATTGCTTAATTTTGTTCATTATATAGTTTCTTAGTTTATATTATGCCAATAATCAAAGTTTTGTACAAAATTTAATATATTAAAAGTTTTATATTTTGAAAAAAATATATCCACGTGCTTACTAGTGTTTATAAAAATGGATACATCTTTCACCCCAAAATCATATCTCAAACAAACAAATAGGATACCTTAGTACAGTTCAAAATGGTTCCTAGATTCACCTGTTTGATTCCTTGCCGGGCATCCTCTGGTTGATTTGACCTAACAGAAGTATTCGCTCTGCTTTGCAAAGGACATGATATAGAGGGTGGAATGGTTGTAAGCATGTATTCTGCCTGGAGGAGGATGTCATGAGCTCCTGCTGCTAAATGTACTCCTAGACCAATTGCTTCAAGTGAAATACTCCGAAGAAATGCTATTGTACCTGGTACAAACACAAAGCTTACTGTTTATTTCCATCATCTAGTAAATAGCAGAAAAGGCAATGCAGAAAATGTCACAAGTGCAGTAGTCAGATAGCGGAGAGAAATTCCTAAAAACTAGCCTTAACAATACCAGAATCTAATTTTCCAGGGTAGCTATATTAGACCCCTGCATAACTGAAATGATTCCTGACCGATGCATAACCAAGTAAGCTCAAAATGCAGATAGTATTTTGCATAGGCCAGGGGGAAGTTGAGGCAAGGTAACTCAATCCAATGCATATATTACTCCATTTAAAAGGGAAGATTTAAATATATAAGATCTGTTTCCAGGTAACTATTTACCCCTCTGAACACCCTTGAGCAATCTCCTATCCTTCCTGTAGCCATTTACGGGCAAAGTCACCAGCTTTGTAGCACCAGAACCAACGGCAACCAGTGATCGAATAGGAGGTAGGCCTTTCAACAATTTATGAACCTACAAAAATATAATCATTACCATGGAAGCACAATGAGGCCACAAGTTGTATAAAAGCTTGTTCACTTTGAAGCTATGGCAGTAACCTGGTTTTGAGAGATGTCTTCTAACCACTCCCCAAGTACCATTTCACCCACAGAGCTCCAGCCATAGACTCCAACTGAATGAACATGCTTAAGTTGTAGCTCCACCCCCTGGCATTAGAAATCATTTGAAAGTTGAACACTCAGTTTTCAAGCCAAAATGGTTCCAAAAGAGAACTAAGATTCTCGCAAGTTAAGTGTTCCTACCAGGTAATAACCAAAGATGGAGAAATAGTAAATTGTTGAACAAGAGAATTACATTGACCATGGGCTATATAAATTATCCTCATTCAAAGAATACCAAAAAGGGCATACGAATGCTGTAATCAGCCTAAAAGAGCAATTAAGAGAAGGAAAAAATGTAGAACACAGACACTGGGAGAAGACAACTTGAATGGCGGTTACAAATGCATCTAATAAATACACCAATGGTTTATGAAATCTTTGCTTGACAGATGCACCATAACTCTGAATGCTGGTGCAAAGTGAAAAGTTGAGGATATAAGTACCAAATGTACCAAAGAATCCAATTGCATTCCACCAAATAGAACATGTAAAACACCAAAAGCTAAAGCTTAACTCTGATCGTCCATATGGTAATCCGTATTAGCAATCCCAGCAGATAAGGGAAAGAATTAGTGAAAAATGGTACTACCACGACAACATATCCCACTACTCATATAATCTACATTATTCTACTTTGTTGTTAGGAAGTTGACCCTTTGAAGCACTTTACCATAAAAATGACAACTTTTCAATTTGAGGTATTAAAATTACAATTGGAACCTAAACTATTCTGACAAAAGATCAAGTATTTACATGCCTAGATGGTCCTCTCTTAAAAGGCCAGTGGAAAAGCAAAATTTGCATATCAATGTGTCCGATCATGAGTAAGATTTGTTGAAACAAGGAATTTGAATGATGTGAAGTCAGTATGATGTGTAAAGAAAAATTTGCATGTCAGTGTGTCCAACCGTCAGTAAGATGTGTTGGAATAAGGAATTCGAATAATGGACTCTAGTTTCAACAAGTAAATGATGTAGCTAGTTATGCATCAAGAGTTTTCTCCACAGGCAGGTGAAGGACACTACAAATTCAAACTTTTTCCATCAGAAAACCTGAGATCTAAACACACACTAACATGAAATGCTGGCTGTTATTCAATTGCTATTTTTACTTAGGTGCGCCATTTAATTCAGTAATCACAGCAAGGAAAGGTAAAAGCAAGAAAGATGAAAACTTTACCTTCCAAGTTAATAGGTTCACCAGTTCCACGTACTTCCCACTCCTTAGTGCAGCTAAATCAAAGTGAGAAGGAACATAATCAACTCGTATAAGGACAGGCCAAATGTCAAATTTCTGCAGAGAAGGAAAAATTCAGTGAATGCCTGAAAAATGAACAAATCCAATTCTGAAAAATCACAAACGTTTACAGATGTTACCAAATACAAATCCATGATATGGAGAGTTTCAGTTCTTTCCTATAAAAACCAAATAGCTGAAGGACATATAATTACAGCAAAGTTTAGTGTTTTCCAGATTTCCTGCTTACCCCGTGAACATTTGAATGTTTATAATTTGCATTTAAGATCTAACATGCTAATCATTAACCAGAATGAAACAATTTATTATATCCTGAGAATAGAGCAATTTCAAAATACTCACCTGAAAAAAGGGAAGCAATGCCTCCTGAACAATTGTATGTCCACTGAGACTTGCAGCCTTGTGTGATCCCTTTCCTGCTTCAAGAATATCATGAGTGCCATTCTTGGATGAGTTAATAGATGTTCTTTGCCCACCAAAGAAGTTGATGAGAAAATCGAGCTGACTTTGATGAAGATGCAAACGCATTGGAAGAAAAGCAACACGCAACCTATAAGAGAAACATGCATTTATTAGGAAACAGTCTAAGATCAATCCACTCTCATATCCTCAACAATTCCTGTCCTTTTTCCCAGCGACATATTCAATACTTTAAATTTTGAGGTGAGGAGACCCTCACAACTCAAGTTTTCGCTGTGGGGTTGCTTATATTCAAAGACTGTACGCTGCATGAGCAAAAGGGAGAGGCAAATACAAACTTTAGAATTTTCACCCTAGTCCCTAGTTATCCTAAAAAAGATGGAAAAGCACAGAGCTGGATTAATGGTCATATATTAGATTAAAGAAAAAAATAGCACCACAGAAAGATTACGTTAAAGAAAAACACAAAACCTTCAAGCAGTTTCTAGCACATATGTGGATGGCGTAAATGATTATCTAATTTCCTCAATATATGTTTGCCATAAGCATAGATATAAAAGTGGTGTGATATATGAGTTACTATACTGCAACTCCATCAGGAACATACAGAAGCACAACATGAAAAGAGCACGTAATTATGTTACTGAGAAAAAACAAATGAACTAACTACTATTTCCTTCATATTAGAAAGATGAAGAAAAATAATTATAGAAAGAAATGCATATTAATGTCCCCCCAAAAGCAAACAAGGGTCTGCCAGATCCTAAATTCAGCTGAAACAAGTGAGTAATAATGCCTTTTTACGAAACAGTGAAGCAAAAAACTTCAGAGAAACAAAATGCATACCGATATTCCTCCAAAGGAGTTGAAGGGTCTGGTCTGACAGACTCTAAATCCATCTTAAGAGCTTTTGAAGAAGATTTTCTAGGATGATCTTTTGATTGATAATATCCAAGCACCTTCAAAAGAATAAAATAAGGAGTCAGACACTGGGCTGCATGATAAAACGGCAAACTTGAACCAGGTAAAAGTTAAATCACATCGAAGACTGACCAGTTTCCATGGTGCATTTTTGCTGTTATCATTCACGCGGAAATACTGAATGGCAAGAGACAGCAGAGATGCATGTAATCCACCATCAGGGAAAATATCATACTGGATCTGCATCCTTGACAGTGAGATCTCTAAACAAACTGTTGCATCCCGTCCAGAAGTAGAATGCTCCTGACTTTTCTGAAAATTACTCCAGTCAGAACCAGCATATAATCTCCAAACTATATTCATGTTCTTGAGAAGTATGCACCCCTTTATTCTGCCATGATCATCAAGTTCAGTGCAACCACTGGAAGACTCACTATTCTCTAGTTGCCCGGGATTAGCTTGATCATTGACCTCTGAAACATGGTTTTCTACAATTCTTAAAGAAGTGTTCCCATACCAACCATTGTTTCTGTATGGCAGTTCCCCGCTGCCTGTAATACCAGCTTTACAGTGAAGTTCGTTTGGTAACTGGGAAGTAAAGGAAACTCCTGACAGAGGGCGTAGATCTGACAAGAAATATTCTTCTATAAACTCTGGAACATTTTCATCTTGAAATGATGCCCCATTATTTTCCAGTCCAACAACTGGATTTGATTCAGAAAAGGAGAAACAACCAGCAAAATGTTCACCATTGCTGGCACTCAGTTCACTTGGTTCACCAAGAACATTATCATTGATTGACATATTAAACTCTCTATCATCATAATCTCTCTGGCCATCAGCATTTCCAACCAGCTGAAATGCATCTTCACAAATTTCATCCATCAGATTGCTTCTACATGAGCTACTATTTGCCCCTAAATTTTGCCCCTCAATATCTGATAGAGCAGCATCACCAAGGTGTGTCCCAATCTGAGCATCCTCAGTTGTCCCTTGAACATCATTCCACCTAGTCTGCAAGTGCACAAGTGTATCCTCCAAGTTAGGTGCGAACAGCTGCTGGAGTTGGGCTCCCAGACGAATCAAACCACATGCAGTGTCAGAACAGGTACCTACAACAATACGTAGATCTGATGATTCTACTTCCCACCTGGGGTCCCCTTTAGAATAAGTTTTCAAAAGAGCTTTAACATGTGCCACATGAGCAACTTTAACATAGCCAGCCCTGCTGAGATGCTCTACGCTGTAATTACTGCCAGAAGTTTTAGGTCCAGATACAGGACAAAGAAGCAGACCCAGATCTTGCAGCCTAATATTATATACACCAACAGAGGAATCAGATATGCTATTACTAGAAAGTGTGAAAGAAGATGCTGCTAATAAACAAGCAATATACTGATCATCAGCAGCTTTGCTGACCATGCCAGAAGAAGATTCAACATCTAAACCATCCGTGCTGGCACACGGATACATGTTTGGTTCATAATTCACACCAATATCTACCAGATTAAGAATAAAGGATGTTTGAAAAGGTGCACTGCTCTCAGAACCCCCCTCCTGCAGACTATTTTCACCCATTTGTTCAATTTCTCGACAGGGCACACTGAAAAAGGAAGATATTGCTTCCCACCAATCCACACGACCACCAATTGCAACAATAGTACCGCATCTCACGGCAATGGACATATAGCTATGAAGCTCATCTGGATTCCACAAGTGTACAATATCAGACCCAGCAAACCTTGGGGTTAAAACATTTGAACCTTCTCCATCACCACGGCCCATGGTTGAGTTGCTGCATGAGATGAGAAGCAGCTCTTCATGAGGAACTCCAGTAACAAAACCAGACAAACTGCCTTCCCCGTGCGACATCCAAACAAATTTAGCACCCCTCACTCGACCAATATTTGAAACAGAAAGCAACTCAAATTTCTGAATTTTGAGTCTAAAACCATGCCAAGAACCAGGAAGCTCACTCTGGGTTGAACTTTTAGTATCTACTTTTTCTTCCATACAGACAGCAATTCCAACTGAATCACAATCAACCAAGATAGATGTCTGAGATATACTAGATTCTTCCTTCAGTGTATCAGAGGCCATACATGACAAACAATTAACCAGCTGATGCAGCAGGCATATTAGGCTATCGTAGTGAGCCTTACCAAGATTGACCATAACAGGAGACAGCAGCACGTGTATGAAAAATCCAGAGCTCAAAACCATCTCCTGTTTAGCACGATTGTCAGATTCTTCCATGTCCTTGGCAGTAGTTACAGAAGCAAACTCATAATCTTTTCCCGTAAATCTCTGTCTGTTTTTCAAGTTCCCTGAAGTAGCCAGAAGCTTAGCTCTCCTAGTTATCCATGGACCAGTCGTACCATCCTGCCAGAACATACTAATGGCGGATAATTGGCTAGTTTCATTGGCAATGGACATAATCATGTGAGCAGACAACTTCCACTTCAACACATTGGATAGCTCAATTCCACCATTCTCACCAGGATCAGAGGTAATCAGGTAGACAGCAAGATCCTTCCAACTCAATTGCAAGGATTTAGAATTCTCTAGCAAGCCTCCTTTACTCAAACTAGTGCCAGATGCAGGCTCAGAGGCCTTGGGATTTTTGTCCCCAAACTTTTGGGGATAAGAGAAATCAAGAGCTAGAAACTGATTGAAGGAATAGTAACCTGCCATGAGTATTATCCTTGCATTTGAAAGGCATATATTACCCCTTAGACTTTCATCTGATGGAATAGACGAGACACAACCATGGGAATTCTTTTCTTCATTCTCCTGAGAATATAATTCTCTCTCACTAAAAATCGTCTTAGATGCAAAATTATTCCTTCCATGACTCATTTTACAAGCTCCAACTTCTTTTAGAAGATCTGACACCTTATCAACCAGACCAAAGTTTGCCCATAAAACACATGGTGGCAAACTTAATGTAAAAGAGACTGGCCCCAAAACAAAATTAGCAGATGTACCAGTATTGACAGTGACTTGGCACCGGCTGATGCCCGAAGTTTTAAATAAAGCCACCTTCACAACATTATCCATGTCAATGCACTCACAACTGGTAATACAGCTACAAGCATTCGATGCAACCATACTAGGTTGAACATCCACATCAAAACCTCTCCTACTAACCATTCCAGCATATTCACCTGATGAGCTAAGGGGAATTAGAGCATCTTGAACAGCATCTTGCATTGCTTGAATTAAATCAGTCAGACCGCTCGCTGTTACACTTTCATTTTGCGACTTAGGATCTATTTTGTCATTCTCAGAAGAAAAATGATCATCCAGTTCTATATGCTGGACTGTTGCCTCAAAATTCATCTCTTCAGGACATACCTGTTGAGCTTATCAAATTCCGACTGTTAATATAAAGTAATGAAAGGAAGACATAAAATGTTTGTAAAAACTAAAGCTCAACAAGAAAATTTTTCCTTCTGGTTGCGGGTTGGCGACTGTAAAATTACCTGCAAGACAAGTAGCAGGTCTAGGAACTTCATATCCAGATAATGAACATACTGAGCAGCCTTGGCTTGATTTTCCCTCTCGTAACAGGAATATTCAGGCTTTTTGTCAAAGAAGGAAAAAAGGATAGATATTCTTGCAACAGTCACCTTGAGATTAGTTTCGACATGCTGCTGTACTGCACAAGGGCATAAAAGACTATCAATAACTGATAAACAACGTCTCTCTTGCAAGCATATCTTGATAGCAACAAAACTAATTGGTAGTACCAGCAGAACTATTGCAAAATTCACAACATTTTACAAATTGGAACAAGTATGCCATATTCCATAGTTCCCCGTTCCACCCATGCTAACTGGTAACAAAAAATATCATAAAAATTAACTATACCACACCACAGTCATTTCAAATAAATCCCTACCCCAACTCCCTTGTGGAGAGAAAACCCCACCAAATAATGAAAAGAAGAAGAAAATGACAAGCATGCAAGCATGCTGCTAAAAAATATTACGAAAAAATTGCTATAGGGCAACCAGATGTTGCACACCTCAATGATATGGCATAAGAAACATAAGTATTTGTTGTGTGAGAATATCAACCCAATTTGCATAGAAAAGGGGCAGATGAGTAGTACAACTGTGAAATGCATTAGCCTCCAACTACAAAGTTGTGCTCAGATCTGTGGTGGGCCATTATTCTATTATGGCATTTCTTACACATACTATGCGCGCAGAGTCAATCACATACCAGGTGGAATAGACGAAGATCCGGAAGCAAGATTGGATACGGCAGTTATAGCACTGCAAACAGAACAGGTCCAGTTCCACATCCCACTTTGGCCCAAAGCTGATTGTGAACTTCTCAACTCATCAAAACATTCAAAAAACTGGTACACACTGCAAACAACAAATCACATAATTCATAAAGCATAGCAAGGGGAATGGAGAACCAAAATGGAACAGGCAAACAACCATGTCTGAGGACTGAGGTCCAAACATCTGTTTCAAGCTGATTCTTTTCTGAATAGTGAAAGCTCTAATAGTTTGCTCGAAAAAGAATGTCTGAGAATATGAGCATCAGATCTAATGCATCATATCCAAAATGGAATGATAATTCAGCTAACTGATTAGGCACCTTTTGTTGGAGACATAGAGTTCAGTTAAATTTTGATCATCTTTTTGTTTAAATTTCTACATATCCTGTACAACAATTCTGCATTCACTTAGTCGGTTCCACAAGTAGATTTTCTGGGTTTGTTTAGCATTAGCCTGTAGAAAATAATTCTAACACAACTAAACTTAGGCATGTTTGATGCAAGAGCTGAAAGTATACATCTTGAGCACATTTAAGATGAGCAAAACAGAACCAACATGATACCGACCTCTCCCCAAAATCAGGTTCGTCTTTCTGGGTTCTACCTACCCAATCTGATATAAGATGAGATTCTGATAATAGGGCTTCCAGTCGGCATTCTTCCTCAAGCAAAGAGCTGCAGTTAACCAAAGAATTATCATTTTCTTCTAGCACCTTATCTGCATTAAGTGAACGAACATCTGGCATTGAAGACGTATAATTTAATGCAGCATTATCACAAACAGTATCTGTTGCTTTGCAAAGCATCTCACTCCCACTTGTCGAACCCATGTCTTTAAACATGTCCCACAAACATATAAACCATGCAACAGTACTTGGCTGAAATCTTAATTCCAGAGGTTCAATGTAAGCATCTACATCCACCTTGCGTATGTCTAAGGAACCATTCTTCCAAGGTATACTCAATTTTAGGTGCCCAGAAAAACCACCGTTTTGTCCAGTAATAATTGGAGTCATAGCAGTTGATTGGCAGCGGTCTGAAAACCATTCTCCAAAATTGATTCCTGAAGCACATGCACATGTACTCTGGTGTTCCACATCATCTATTTGTAGCAATTCAAGAACTGCTCCTTGAAATTTAAAGAAATTGGTCAGTCGACTTAAACCAAGAAAATTATCTTTGGCTTCTTCCATCAAATGAGGATCTGGATCTTCAGATATACATGTTCCACATTCTGCTTCAGAAATTCGAAGTACCAAACTTCTACTAAATCTTTTATTCGTTTCCTCCACTATACAGGGATCAAATGCCACAATCAATCTTTTTATTTTCACATGAAAGCTACTAAGCAACCATTTTACCATCTTGGCAATGGTTTTAACTCCTTCGTGAACATATACTGAGGTAAGCGTAACACCACCACCTGATCCTGAGTCATTCTCCAGCTTTCTCGAGTCATGATTGGCAGGATGATTGTTGTTTTGACCAAAATTGCGAGTTTCCGAACCATCATGCAAAACACTTGCTCCACCAGGAGCAATGATGAGCTCAAGTTCATCAACCTCAATTCGACAGCCATCGCCACTCCAAGGTAATGTTAATAACAGAGAACCGATTGAACCTTCTTTCACCATAACTGCTGCAGCAGCACCAAACTGAAAGAACAAGAAGCACATGATGATCAAAATATTCTTTTAATTCCCTTTCTAGTCTGATTTTTTTTCGTTATGAACAAGAAAGTCACGAGTTGGAGAAGGGAACAGATTAAACTATGGAAAGTACAACCAATTCAATGCCATCAACTCAAAAGTTGTATAAGTGGAAAACTTAAACAGGAAAAGATTGCTTTACAGCCAATCATGGAGCGATTAAAATTGGTAACATCTATAACAAAAAGCATTTCCCTTTTTCTTTCCCTTTGGTTTTCAGTTTTTTTTGGGGGAGAGGGGGGGGTGGGGTAGGAGATGTCACGTCACCATTTTGAAGGATAATCACCGCATAGTCACTTCCACTCTCAACTGCAACTTTCTTTTTTACCTCGTCTCTACTGCTGCTTTATTGTTATTCAGTTTGTTGGCACTCAACTAAACCCCGGGAGAGCAAAATATGATAGTTATAACTCCGGTTTTATATCCTACTGCTTAGTGAAACTTTTCAACATTCAAAAACTAATATCCGTAGCCAAAATTCTACCAGTACGCAAGCAATTAAATAAGCCCTACCCATTTTATCCACAAAATCAACAAGCTTTAACTTTTAAAACAAATAGAATAGCCATCCATATAGCTAAAAAGGATAATTGAAAAAAAAAAAAGCTGGAATTTTTACAAGAGTGACTAGAAAAGCCACAGCAGGCAGAAATAATGAACATAGAACTGCTTAGGTACCTTGTGATTGAGATAATCAACGTTAAGAGCAAGATCAGTGAGCTTAACAGTGCCGGCGGAGAGCTGAACATCGAGCTGCTTAAGATCAACGTCACCAAGTATGATTTTCCCCAACTTCTTCTTCAACAAAAACTTGCATAATCTCTTTATCGCCCACCGCGAGAACATCGCCTCCGCCGACTTGGCGATGTTCCACGAAAACATCTTCTTCCCCTCTTAATTCTAAAAAATTAGGCTCAATTTTGCTTGAATTTTTAGTTTTTCTTTTTATTTTTCCCGCTTAATTGACTAGCAGGAGGTATTTACAGCAAGGGAAAAAAAATTTCTTATTTTACATAAATTCTGATGGAGGCTCATCACCCACCTCCATCCATTAGAGGTTCAAAATCTCAAGGGGCAAAAAAAAAAAAACACAAAAAGAAGAAGAAGAAAAAGTAAGGAGGGAGAGACTGGGGAGGTTAAAAATCAGTAATGAAGAAGGATGTGATAAATTTGTTTGGGCTGGGGTCGGAGGAGGAAGAGTCGTGTTCGGGTACAAGTGATTTCGTATGCTTTCTGTGTTTGTGTGTCCTGCTGGGGAATGGAATTGCATTGGATTAAGCACCAGTACTCAATATTGGAATCCTTCTGGGATTTATGTGTTTCTTTTGTTTTAAACGATTAAATAGGAGTAATTTAATATAGCTTGGCGGCTAAGCTATTATATGTTGTACTCTTAGCCTGAGGATTTGTACCATGGGAGACTAGTTAGGCGTTCGATCGGGCTCAAGCGATTATTATTACGTATTAATGATATATCGGGTTTGTTCTAAATTAATTATTTTATCTTGATTGTAAATAATCGGTTTCTGTGGTGTGTTTTCAATTGTCTTATATATTCTGATTACACATTTTCTTAATGATAAAAAAAATTAACATCTATAATCACCCCCTAAAGAATAACATGTACTGTTTTCTTGAAATCTCAGAAAAACAGTTCTATGCTTTTTATTAAGGTTTGGTCTGGCGGGCAATATATTAATATATAGGGATAATTTCAGAAACATCCCCTAAGGTTTTTGATAATTTCACCGAGCTCCCCTAAAGTTTAAAAAATTATATATGCCTCCCTGATTTGATAGTTTTAGTAACAAAACCTTAAAATAATAATATTGATTTGGTCAAAATTTTAAATGAATACCCAAAAATACCCTTGTGTAATGAGTTTTAATTTATTTTCCTATAAAATTATAAGATTATCTAATGTAGGCCCTGTTTAATAAGTGAGTTTTTTTTATATTTGTCTAAAAAATTACTATAGTTTACTGTAGAAATTTTTAAAAAATTTTTTGAAGTGTGTAAATTGTTGAATATTTTGAAATGTATACTTTAAAAACTTTAAGAAGTTATTTGAGCTTACTGTAGTTAAAGTTTTTAAAAAACTTGTAACAGACAAATTTGACAAAAAAACTCAAGTGCCAAACAGGGGCCGTAATTATGAAGAAAAGGTGCTTAATTTTCATGTCCATACATACTATTTGATAAACAACTATAATAATAATTTTTTCACTATAATAGGATATTTTTTATGGTATTTTATTATAGATTTAGATTTATAAGATAGAAAATAAAATATTGAAATAATTGATTCAAAGTTTATGAATTTTTTAAGTAGTGAGATTATCATAATTTAGTTGTGATTTTGGGCAATTTCTTTTTGATTTATTATTAATTTTAATACCAAAAATATAGAAAATAAAGATTAGCAAAAAATATCGGGTTACGTATAAAGTTAACTCGTAAAAAAATCATTAGTTCGATATTTGGTCACAATAGAAACTAGAAATAATAATGGTAATTTTACAAATTTAGTGGCAAAAAATTTAAAAAAAAAGGAATAAGAAGGAAAAATAATGAAAAAATAAATTTAAAATCATTCTAAATCTAAGCATACCAAACAAAAGAATTTTATTAAAATATTTAAGGATAGTATTGTCATTTTAAATGACAAGGGAGGTATATGTAATTTTTTAAATTTCAAGAGAGCTCAGTGAAATTATTAGAAACCTTAGGGAGGTTTCTGAAATTATCCCTAATATATATTTGCTTAATACTTGTATCTAGTAGTAATTGGATGGCGTGATTGGGCGGAATCTCATAATTGATTGCTGAAGCAACTTGCTTCAGTTCAGACAGGAGTCGCCCGTTAAATTGCCACTGGGTTGATCTTGCTTTGCTTGAGTGGTGATGGTGAAGCTGGAATTTAGTAGCTTAGCTGTGGATGATGGGACAGCAACCGGCGATTAGCAAAAGGGGATACGAAAGCAGAACAAAAACTCAAAAGTCAGAAAACCCGTTGTTGCGTTGTCCCTCGTGCTTCTGAATTTCACCTTGGCCTTCCTGTCTTCTTGTCTTGTTAGATCAAAGAGTTGCAGATACCAAATTAACAAAATGACTAACATATTATTAAAGCCTATTATTATTATTACTAGTATGGACTAGGGTGCTAGCAGTAGCTCGCGAGCAGCTTGATCAAAAGTTTGACTCGAGTTCGGTAAAATCGAGCTCGAGTTCGAGCTCGAACTACTCGTTAAATTTAACGAGTCGAGTTCGAACTCAAGAAATAAGTACTCGAGTGCTCGCCGAGCTTAATCGAGCTTTCATATTTTATTTATATTATATATTTATATTATATTATATATTATATATTTAAAAAAAAATTATAGATTTATTTCAAAACTCGAGCTCGAGCTCGAGTAGCTCGGGTTTGATATTTACTCGAGCTTACTCGAACTCAAATGAGTCGAGTTCGAGTTTAGTTTTATTTTATCGAGTCGAGCTCGAGTCCAAAATTTTTTATTCGATCGAGCTCAAGCTCGAGCTCGAGTAGCACAAATTTTGATCGAGTTCGAGCTCGAGTATGATGCTACTCGAGCTCGACTCGGCTCGATAGCACCTCTAGTATGGACTAGTACGTAGTTTGCATTATGCTACTATCTGTGAGGGGCCAAGAACAATAAAGAACACACTAGTAATATGACAAATTTACAACAGAAATAAGAAAAATACATAAAACGCAGACAGCAAACGAAAAGAAGAAACTAATAAATTATTTGGATAGCCATTATTTAGTTTTAAATTATTTATTTGTATTATAAATATAATTTTTAATGTACCTTTTAATTTTTGTAGTCACCATTTTACTTTACATATTTTACCTTATATACATTACATCTGTTATAATAATTATTTCAAATAATCTTTTGTCCAAACACCGCTGGTGTGTTTGGATGGCCATTATTTGCCTCCAAATTAGTAGGAGTGTCTTCGCCGGAGAAGGAGAAGGGGGGGAAAAGCACAAAACAAAAACAAAAACCAAAAAAGGTCGGCCGGTTTGTGTGTTTCGTGTTCAGACATAGACAACAATACGATCCACTGCCTTATCTTATGTTTGATTTGCTTTTGGTTGCTCTTATCGAAAACGTTTGATAAACAGAATCAAGAAACACGTTGATAACATTTTTGAAACTTCGGTTTGGTGTAGTATATTATATTTATTCCATCGTTATACTAGTCAATAGTCATCGGGTATTGGCCATTTCCCCTCGCTTCATTTATCTCTCCGCCACCGCCCAACCATCAATCAGTCCTTGGGAGAAACAAAGCAAACATGGAGCTCAAGCCGCGACTTTCTGCCATCATCACTGGCGGCGCCTCTGGAATTGGTGAGTCTCTCTTTATGAATATTTTGAGTCCCTTTTTGGTTAATTCTTGAACCGCGATGATAACTGGTATAACTTTTTGGCCCAATCAAATAGGTAAAGCTCTGAGCTTGGCACTGGCTCAGAAAGGAATGTTCGTCACGATCATTGACTTTTCCGAAGACAAGGGAAAAGAGGTTGCATCCCTGGCTGAAAAAGAGTCTGCCAAGTTTCACGCCAATTTGGATTTTCCATTAGCCACGTTTATCAAATGCGACGTCACTAATTCCGGTGAGTACAAGTGTGTGTTAAATTGTACCTCTAACTTTGTTTGTAGCTCAGTCTTTGGAATTAAATTGGGAAGCAAAATAAAAGTTCTTCTTTTTGAATAGTTATCAGCATAAGACCTTAATTATGAAAATGAGAGTTTTCCCGGCAAATGGCAAATATTACCCGTAAGACTACAAATAAATGGAAGAGGTAAAGAATTTGGTTTCACCTTTTGGGTTCGGTTTTTGCTGCAGATAAGTGTTTATTCATTTACTTTTGTCTGGGGTGGGGTGGGGTGGAAGGGTGGGAGCATAGCATGCGTCGATATTTATCTTTCATGAAAATAGGATTTTCTGATCTAAATATGGTTGCCAATGTTTATAAGGGGATTTGGCTGCTGCATTTGAGAAGCATGTGACAACTTATGGAGGATTGGATGTCTGCATAAATAGTGCCGGTATAGCTAATCCTGTGCCGTTCAATAAGGACCAAACTGATGGTTCCAAATCTTGGAAGCTGACTATTAACGTCAACCTTGCTGCTGTCATTGACTGCACCCACTTTGCGGTAGGTTTGGATGCATTACTATTCACTGCTAGTCAATTGATTGAATTTTAGAATTTTGTGAATTTCACTTCTTTCTTTTCCCCATGGAACCTTCTATGTAGCCAATAGCACAATATTTTATACTGAAAGGAACTACTTGGGAACTCTAGTTTTTTCACAAAGGGTATATGGGAGAGATCAAAAAAGAACAATGCATCTTGTTCTCCTTTCTGAATGTACATTTTGTGTGCTTGCATACGGTTGTAGTGTTTAGTAAGGGGTCCGCCAAGGGAAATGGAGGAGAGATCTTATACTCCAAGTGACCCTCCCCAATCTTATCCAAAGGCTAAGTCTCGAAGAGGATATTAACACAGTTACGCCTGTAAGCACTCAAAATTTAACAAGTAAGGCTAGCTTCTTATTCAATATATTTCTTATTCTTCAATGATAGAGATGTAGTGGCATTCATAATCTTATGCAAGCAGTGACCTGAGAGTATCAGTGTTTTGTCTAAATTTTGCCGTAAATGTGGAGGAGTTTAATATAGCTTTGTTTCTTGTTTCCCTCCATACTTATCAGCTGTGTGTTGTTATTGACCATCTGCTAGAATTTTCTACCTTTTCTTATTCCTGAATCCTGCACTTTCTTCAAATGAGGAAATTCAATTTGGTGATAGTGGTATGATGATTTACATGTGATTCTTAGATTAAAACTATGCGAGCTGCACGAAAGCCGGGTGTCATCATAAATATAGGCTCTGCTTCAGGGCTTTATCCAGCGTACCATGACCCTATCTACTCTGCCTCAAAAGGTATGTGGTTTCTACATTGTTGTTCTGCTTCCAAAATGATATATTCTGAAGCATCTGTACGCTTTTTTCGTCTATGTAATTGTTATGGATGTTTGATTTGTACACTTGCTTGGATAGGAAGATTTTAGAGTCTCCCAACCATTATTTTTGTCTGACTGAGATAATTTTGTAGGTGGTGTGGTTCTATTTAGTAGATCACTGGCTCCATATAAGCGTGAAGGAATCCGTGTTAATGTGCTTTGCCCTGAGGTAACTCCTATTGGATTCAAGTTGTCTTTGGCCTGGTTATGATA